AAGCGGTTCCTACTCATAGCAACACAGTATAGGATTTCTAAGGAATGACTGGTGGGTTTGAACCACCAACTTTATGGTGCTAAAATAACAGTCAAGTAGGTGCACTAGAAACCACATGACCTACAAACCCAAAATATTTATTCTCTGGTCAATAAAAAGTTTGCTGATGCCTGTTATATAATCTTCGTACTCTCTTAATGGTTATATAAGACTTCATTGAGTTGTTTTATTATCATTGAATTAACTGTGCCTCTATTAAGCATTTATATTGCTTTCATTCCTCCCCCCCCCCAGCTATTATAAACAGTGTTACAATAATTACTAACCTATATAAACATTTTTGCATTTGGAATATTTCCTTAGGACCATTGGCAGAATTTTATCTGTGAATTCACTATTCTCAGGTTGAAGTTCTATGGTTAATAGTTTAGAGCTATTTGCTAAGTTCTTTTCTTCCACTTGATACTGAATGTTTTGTAGAAAGCAAAGGATATATGCAATTTGCCTTTTGTTTGTATACGTTTTAGTTTAACAATATCTTGTTAGCGTATCGGCAAACACAGATCTGCCTCATTCCTTTTTTAAACAGATGGGCATTTAGATTGTTTCTAGTTTTTTAGTATGAAAAACAATGCTGCAGTGAACATCCTTTGTGCATAGGTGAGGCAAGTCTGGATTTCTGTAAGAGGTATTGCTCTATTCATATCAGTTTCTCCTTACCGCTGTGTATTTAATAGTTAAAATTTGTCTTAGCTGTATTTTGAAGGGACCCTATGTTTATGAACCAGTGACACTTTGATTAGTTGAATTAAAAACACATTTGAATCAGTAATGGTTCACTTAAAGCTTAAGGGTGAGATCATTTGAAATCTATACATATTGAACAAGACAGAGGTCCCTACCCACAAGGAGTTCATATTATGAAAGATGATGGTGCTATGAGGAAAAGGAAAAAGAGGGCAGGGAAGTGGGGATGAAGAGTGCTAGGGTTGGGGCTTTCTACTGCACAGTGATTTGGGTTGAAAAATAGGTTTCAAAGTAGAGACATGTGTGAAGTAGGTAATTCATATCCCCTTTAGAAAATATTGTTTATCTACCATACTTGCAAGGGAATAGCAAACCTCATCAGAACAGATAGTTTGCACTGTTGATGGATTGCTTTAACCTCACAGCATTGGTCTCCTTGGAGGACTTAGCATAGGAGAGCATACAAGCAGAAGATCATGTTGTTCAGGTTTCCTACACAACCCGTGCTGGGAACAGCTTTCCTCACCAAGTGCTTATCCTTTTACAGAGTTCCATGAGCAGACGTGCCCCAGTTCACAGTTCAAGTGTGATGATGGAAGGTGCATCTCAAGCAGCTGGATCTGTGATGGGGACAATGACTGTGGAGACATGAGTGACGAGGATGAAAGGCATAACTGTGGTAAGTGAGGCCAGTGACTCCCTCTTCCGGGTCACATGCCAGGCTTGTTCTGTGGCAGCAGAATGCTTACTTTCTTTCTCTTGCATTTGGCTCATACTAATATGAATCAATAAATACCAGAGCCAAAGAGCTCTGGTAGCATAGTAGTTACGAATCGGGCTGCGAACTTTAAGGTCAGCAGCTCGAAACTACCAGCTGTTCCGTGGGAGAAAGATGAGGCTTTCTGCTCCCATAAAGATTTACAGCCTCGGAAACCCTGTAGGGTTGCTACAGGTCGGAATTGACTCGACAGCACTTAACAACAACAATGTCTACAGTGGTAAGAATTATGTTGGCCACTGTTGTTGTTGGGGTTTTTAAAAAAATAAATCATAGAAATCTTTATTAAAGTCTAGAAAAATGTGAAGCTATTGTTTCTCAGCATAATCTCCATCTAGGTTTTTAGACTTCTGAAGGTGTTTCTGTCTCTCTAACCTTTCCCCAAAGAACTTTCTGTTCTTTGATTTATAATATATAAATGTAGCCATTGGGATTTTTTTGAGGGGCACAATTTTTTTTCATATTAAATGTCCTTTGGTTTTGGGGAACAAAAATAAATTTGAAGAGGCTGTAGGGTGAATGGAGAAAAATTTCCTAAAGGAATTTAGGACAGTCTTTGCTACCTTTAAAGAATGAATGGGTGCGTTGTTGTGATGGAAGCGGTTTATCTTGGTGCAGTGTTTCTCGCAGTTTTCAATTACCTTACAACTTCTTCATAATATGTTCCTCTGATTATCTGTCATCCTTCAAGAGAATCTATCAATATGACCCCTTCAGAATCCTAAACAGCCTCAATAGCCTTCACAATTAGCTCTCCCAGTGGTTTCTGGCAACTCTTGTAGATATATGTACCTCCTCTCTACCCTAATTGTAATTCTCTTTGAGGTGGTAGTTATAATGTAGTTGAAAAAGCACTAGCTCTTTCTATTTTTAGTTAACCCACTTAGACCTTCTCATTTGTAAAACTGGCATAAGAATACTTATCCACATGCTACTTGTGTGATTACACTTCACAAACTAAACATTACTCAAATGTGTAAGACAGTTTTGGTGTCTAGTTAACAAAGTGGGAAAGGTTTCCTTAAACTTTAAGGGAAAAAAATTTTAAGATGTTTTATAATGTTTGTTTCTTAATTCTGAAAAAAATCCCAAAAACCTAAGGTTCAAAGGTATTAAAATAGAATTTTGGGAAATATTTTCTTATGATTCATAATTATCAAGGCAGCAGTCTGCTCTGTGTACCTGCTTCCCTCCCATTTCTTCTTATCCCCAGAATGCTGAGTCTCCTAAGTTCTTGTGTGATCTAGAGCTCTCATGTGATCCTTGAGTCTTCTGTGCTTTGGTTTCAGCGAACCACACCTGCTCAAGTTTAGAGTTTTTCTGTGTGAACAGTGCTCCTCCCTTCCGGCGGTGCATTCCACGAAGTTGGGTCTGTGATGGTGAGGCAGACTGCAATGATGCCTATGATGAACATCAGAACTGCACCAGAAGATCTTGCTCGGGAAATGAATTTATCTGCAACAACGGACTCTGCATCCTGAGCTCCTACAGGTGCTTTGGGGATAAAAGTTTCCCCAGCAAACCTCAGCTGTCCATGGGGATAGGACTAACATAATACATGCAATCCCTAGGACCCACACTACATTGGTGGCCTGTGGGAAGGTTTCAGTTTCCTTTAAAATCAGGAGATAAATAAGAACCTTTAGGTCAAGGACAGGATTTTAGTACCTAATAGTAATATACTTGCGTTTGTACCAATGCAGAACCCATCAAAGGCATAATGTGGTCAGGGTGCCAGGGAGATGATGAAAGTGTGTTTGATATAAGAAAATGCTTTCTTGAAGCAGGTGACCTTGGTTTTCTTGTGTTCCCCTTTTTGGTATAGTAGTACAGGGGCTGTTTTTCCCATTGGGTCATTCCTGAGCAGCTCACTGGAATAATGGTGTGCATATGTGTCTAAAAATGTGATGATTACTCACTTAACTGACCTTTGGATTGCATCGAAACTAGAGAAAGTAAAGTTAAGTAGCTCCCAGGAGACCAAATGAGGCTGAACCAATGTCTTTTGATGACACCTCTCTTCACAATTACATGCATACACCTGAGTATAAATCACATTGGCAGGTGCCCTGGATTTGTGGATGTCAGTTCTGGTCTGTTGTGGAATTGGCCCTATTCAACTCTGGTGCCTCCTATGTCTCTATGATAAATTGTTTTATGAACTGTCAAACATTAGTTTACTTATCTTTATCCAACTTTCATGGGAACTTGGATTAACATAGAGAAGAAAGTCCAGTCGTACAGAATTTATGAAAACTTTATTGTCCTCATGAAGCACTGGAATTTTAAATCCCATTATAGCGTGCAGGAAGTATTCCTTTGTCAATATTTCATAGTCAGCAACTAGTCTGTTCTCCTGCTAGAGCTCATGTCTCGGGATAGATGGCAGTTCTAAAATGAAGGCTGGAAGGAAGAGGACTGCCAGTTACTCAAGTTTGAAGATATGTGATTTTTAGAGGCTGCATTTGTACTATCAATATAGCAGTCACTCTATGCATTTCCAGTTGTGGGTGGACACTTCTATCCTATGGCTGTTCGGGGTATTATTGCCTATGCCCGTAAGCCACCTCTTTATCTGATGAATATCTCCAATGATCGCTAAGATTATAAAAGTTGTACTTAATGAATATATCAACTGAAGGAAAATGAATGTAATTATATAACTCTAGACTCAAATGTCTAATGCTAGCACCTGGAAAAGTTGTGAATGAAGATTCTGAGGGAGGGAACACAGAGGGGCTGATGATTACATTGTTGAAATGGTTGATCTGGCCTCCAGATCTGTAGCGAAGACGAGAAGTCTTCAGTGGGTCATAGTTGAGATTTGTCAACTTCTCCAACCATGGTCCCGGGTCTTATTACACAGGTGTGATCGGCGCAATGACTGTGGGGACTACAGTGATGAGAGGAACTGCTCGTACCCGACTTGCCCTGATTATCAGTTTACTTGTCAAAATGGGCGTTGCATTCATAAGCCCTATGTCTGTGATGGGGACAATGACTGTGGTGATGACTCTGATGAGCTAGAGCATTTGTGCAGGACCCCAGAAGCCACATGCCCCCCTCATGAGTTCAAGTGTGACAATGGGAACTGCATTGAGATGGCAAAAGTCTGCAACCACCTGGATGATTGCACTGACAACAGTGATGAGAGAGGATGTGGTGAGTGTGACCGAAGACTGGGGAAAAGGAAGAAGGGGACAGAGACTGCAGACCCTCAACCCTTTATGACTTACTAGGACTTCCACGTCCATTCTTGCTGGTGGTATGTTAAGTAGCTATAGTAACATTTCTGATCACTTTAGATCCTCTGATAACTGTCCTTTACTTACAGGCATTAACGAGTGCAATGACCCTTCAATCAGTGGCTGTGATCAGAACTGCACTGATACCCAGACCAGTTTCTATTGTTCTTGTCGGCCTGGTTACAAGCTTATGTCTGACCACCGAACTTGCGATGATATTGATGAATGCAAGGAGACACCCTCTGTCTGTAGTCAGAAGTGTGAGAACACTCTGGGTTCCTACATCTGTAAATGTGCGCCAGGCTACATTCGTGAGGCAGATGGAAAGAGCTGCCGGCAGAACAGTAACATCACACCCTATCTCATTTTTAGCAACCGGTACTATGTGAGAAAGCTAGCCTTAGATGGCGAATATTACTCTCTCCTCTTGCAAGGACTAGGAAATGTTGTGGCTCTGGATTTTGACCGAGTAGAAAACAGATTGTACTGGGCTGATATATCAAGGAAAGTCATTGAGAGAGTTTTTCTGAATACAACAGACCGAGAGATAGTCATAAACCATGATCTACCAGCTGTAGAAGGCCTGGCCGTAGACTGGGTTACCAGGTAAGAAAACATTGCTCAAAAATTCTAACGATATCTTCTTCACCTTAATAGGGAATTGATCTTTTAAACTTGGGGCATTATGTGAATACAGTGAGTTTTTCTTTTTCTTTTTTTCCTGCTGTGGGAATCTACAGAACCAAAAATATTGTGATTTTAAGAGAGTTTATGGTACACTTTCTATGAGGATAGGGTTTCATAAGGAAGGAAAGAGCTCTGCTATTGCTTGCCTTTTAGCTACCTCTGGAGGTTGTATTGAGGGATGATTCATTGTGTTCTGTAATTTAAAACCACTTACTAAGCATTTTCTACATGCCAGGTGCTATGCTGGATAACTTTCTTTTACTCTACCATTTAAACTGTAGATTATAACCCCGTTGCTTCAGCTTCCTTCTTCCTCTAAGCTTTCCTATTGACTGGGAAAGATGCCTGTGCTTCATGAAGAAAGTAAAACTAGAATCTTCATGTGACATCATGTGGCCCCAGAATTCCCTCTGGGGAGCACACACTCTGGCACCTACTATTAACCTCACTGCAAGAAAGTCAACTTGCTGTTTTCCCCCACTCTCATTTGCCGGAGGAAAAGTACACTTTCCCCCTCCTCCTTCCTCCAATTGGTTTTTGCATATATATGTATTTTAACTTTTTAACTGTGAATTGAGTGAAGGTTCACAGAGAAGATCATCAATTTTATGCTTAACAAATCATACACTTTTGTGTTTCCTCTCAATGATTACAGTCCCTTCCACGCAACACAAGTTACCCCACATTGTAATCATTGCAATGAAATGTGTGATTTGTTGTAAAACTGATAATCTGTCCTGTAAAATTTCACTCACTTCACAATAAAAACTAAAAAAAAAAAAGTTACCCACTTTGTCCCTGTAGTTGCTATTTCCACTCTGCTCCACTCTCCCTCCTATCCCTTCTCCACATTGTCCTTAGGTAAAAGTTGCCTTTTGATTCTGAATGATTGACCATTCCATGATGAGCATCCTTCATTCTTCTTGTTGTCCCTTCTATATACTTATCTACTGCTTGGCGGAAAATTGGGCCATGATGGGACTTCCATTCTTGACCTGAAGGGTGTTTGAGGGCCATAGTCTCAGCTTCTTCCAGTCTCTTTCTGACCAGTAAACCCGGTGGAAAAGTGACTGTGATTTCAAGGTAGTTTAAGTAAGAAATAATGTGGCTAAATATTAATAGTAACACTTGGGTCTCTATTTTAGAAAGCTTTATTGGTTGGATGCTGCACTGGATGGCCTCTTTGTCTCTGATCTCCATGGCCGATTCCGCCGCAAGTTGGCTGAGCACTGCGTGGATGCCAACAACACCTTCTGCTTTGAATATCCTAGGGGAATTGTTCTTCATCCAAGATATGGGTATTGTCTCCTGGGATTATTTTATGTGGTCAAAACACATCTTTACTGGGTTCTCCTTGTCAAATCCACTGAAATACATGGTTGATCATGTTCATTCTTGGACATTTCCCATATATCACCCCCTACTTTCTCATAGATTATTTCCTTGTTCTCTCTCTTTCCTCTCCGAGAACAGTTACAGAGTGTACTCTCAATTTTTTTATATGGGGAAGAGAAGAGGTATGGTCTTTGACTGCTAGATTCTTTTGGCTTTAGGAACTAACTGTGTTTGCTCAAACAGGTATGTCTACTGGACCGACTGGGGTCACCGTGCGTACATTGGGAGAATAGGCATGGATGGAACAAATAAGTCTGTGATTATTTCTACCAAGATAGAGTGGCCCAATGGCATCACCATTGACTACACCAATGATAGACTCTACTGGGCAGATGCTCATTTGGGTTATATCGAGTACGTATACAGAGAAAAATAAAATAACTGTTTAACTATTGCAAACATAGGGGTTGAGTTTCCAGTGTATTAGTCCCATACTAGCTTGTGTGTTAAGTCACTCAGAACACTGCTAACTAAGATTGCCTATAGGCAGTTAATTGGAGCCACATAGCTCATAGTTTATGGTACCAGTTGTCCTGGTGTAGAATAAATCACTCAACTGCAAGGTAGCGATTCTAAGTCACAAGCAGCTCCTCAGAAACCCTGTACAGCATCACTATTGGGTTGGAACTGACTCGATGACACTTAACAGCAACCAACAAATATATGGATTTAAGTATTTGAAAAAGAACAAAAGTATTGGAAAAGTTTTTCCTAAAATACTTGGGTGTATTTAATAAGTACAACTACGTATTGTAGGTAGGAGTAATGACTGATAAGGGGATAATTAAAAAAAAAAAAAAAGTCAAATAGTATACTCTTCAATGAAAACCATAATATTCATTGAGAAAAAAGAAAAAGGAAGAAAAGAAATACACATCATTAAACAACCAATACCTCGTTAGACTGTGGTAGTCTTTTAGGGAATCCTGGTATGGATCGCAAGATCATTTTTGAACCATAAAGTCAATGGTTCAGATTCACCAGCTGCTCCTCAGAAACCCTATCCAGGGTCGTTATGAGTCAGAACAACAACAAAAATAAAGACATATATTTTTATAGAATGCACAATTGGTATTTTGTATGGGTTTGGATGCACACATAAGATTTTGACAAAACATAAAGATTTCTGGGGATCTTTTTATAGAAATAGTGCAAAAACTAAAAGGTCTCAGGACAATTGTATGGTGATTAAGTCCTGGTCATTTACATACATTCTTATCAACAGAAGCCAAGCAAGGCCTCAAGTTCCTATGGCTTTTCTGTTACCATCAATGATTATATTTTGGAAAATATTTTTGACAACCCATGGCTAACATTATTAAGTTCCTTATGGACTAGCTTGAACCACTTCCTGTTCAGGTTTTAAGGTCTGGTAGTTTTGAAATAACATCTGCCATACAATCATAGCAATAATGAGACATTGTAATTGGGAAGACTTGGAAATTTCCAGGGAACCTTGTCTAGAAATTTATTTATCTGGGAAAAAACACCTTACTGCTGTTGTATGCAAAATTAACTATGCAGTCTGTAATTTAACTCAGCTAGAATACTCCTCTCAGATCATACTGAGAAACCAGCTATCTTCTAGAGGAATTTTTCCCAGATAATTCTTCTTGTGAAGGCAGACTTTCTTCCCATGACTTAGGAACCTAGGAAGAAGCTTGCCACAGAATGCCAAAAGGGTGCTTAATGGAGAACATCACTGCTAGACCTACAACTGCTATGGTGGCAGTACTTCTGCAGGAAAGCAGCAGTGGGTAGGAATTAGGGATTATTTAAACTTTCCTATTCCATGGGAGAAAGATGAGGCTTTCTGCTCCCGTAAAGATTTACAGCCTCGGAAACCCTGTACAGGGTCACTATGAGTCGGAACCGACTCCACGGCACATAACAACAACAACATTGCTTTTGAACTTTTATAAATTACCCTTTAGACTTATTTAAGGACTAGGGGTTTGGAGGAAGGATTTGAACTTGAGCGACTTGTGTTGTTGTTGTTGCTGGTGTGACAGACTAGAACTACGATATAGGGGTTCCCAGGCTGTTATCTGTATGGGAAAGGAGCCCTAGTAGCATATTGAATTATGATCTGGGCTGCTGACCACTAAGTTAGCAGCTGGAATCTATCAGTGGCTCCTCGGGAGGAGGCTATTTTCTGTTTCCATAAGGATGTACAGCTTTGGAAGCCCTATTCAGGGTCCCTGTGAGTCGGAACCAACTCTGGTACGTAATTACCAGCACCATCAATCTGCATGGGATGGCACCCTTGTAGCACAGTGGTTAAAGTGTTTGCAGCAGTGAGATTATCTTCTCCACCGAGTGACAGTTTCTTCCTGTAACTCCAGGTACTCTGATTTGGACGGCCACTATCGGCATACAGTGTATGATGGGACACTGTCACACCCCTTTGCTATTACCATTTTTGAAGACACTATTTATTGGACAGATTGGAATACAAGGTCCATTGAAAAGGGCAATAAATATGATGGATCAGCTAGGATGGTGCTCATGAACATAACACATAGACCCTTTGACATCCATGTGTATCATCCTTACAAGCAGCCAATTGGTGAGTAGGGGTGATTCAGAAGTTTGATAAAGTTGCTTCTGATTCTTGTCTCATTCAGTATAAATTTCCTAATTGAGGAAGAATGTGGTGTTTATTATCAGTGTTTTCTTCAAAATGTATGTTGAGAATTGAGGAGTATGAAGTTTGGGGAAAAGCTATTTTTTAGAGATTTGACACTATGTTGTCACATTTATTTTAGTAGGAGGACTGAAGTGTTTTTTCTTCTGTTATTAAACCCACCTCCGCAGGCTGAAGTATTTTGAAATGGTATAAAATTATGACGTTTTGGCCCTAACCATTAAAGCTTTTTTTGAAAAATATGTGCATTTCATTTATAACACATCTATTGATGACATCTAAGAAATTAACACTTGTTCCTCAACACTTGTTTCAATCTGTTGAGAATAAATTATTTTGAAGAAAATTATAATCATTATTATACCACATCATGCATTCAGTTTATGTCTATGTATGGCATAATATCATTTTATAAAGAGATGTTGTCCCTGCTTTCTAGAACCACACAGAAGGTAATGCATTTCAGTCTGTCATAAGTCCGAGAATGTGGGTTTTTATTTGCTTCCTCTTTATGCATTCAGAGCCATTTTATAATCTAGGAAAGGCTCAGAGTATACTTTGGGGGATGGATTAGATCTTGGGGGCCTGCTTTGTTGTGATGTCTTCCTAAAACACAGTAAACTTGTCCATAAGGAAGACTGGGAATTAACATGATCAAAGTATTTCTTTTTGGACGCTGTAGAATAAGTGCTGGATCCTAAGCAGTTCAAACTCACTGGTCACTCCTTGGAAACCCTATACAGATAGAGTTGTTATGAGTCAGAACCAACTCGATGGCACTTAAAAACAACATTTTAGTAAAAGTTCAAATTAATCTTTACTTCTAAATGGTGTCCTAATAAGTGGAGACTGTTTATTGTATCCATCTGCATCATTCTTGGCCAAACTTTTGTTGCTCATACCTTTAGAATGAGAGACTGAAGTGTCTACCAGAAATTCACACTTTACCTTTTGTCTGGATGTAAGCTAAGTTTCCTATCTGCTTTCCCAGGATTTTGAGGAACACAGTTTTTTTCCCATAGCCACAAATACCGGTGTCTAGGCCTCACTTCTGATAGTTTTTAAGAACTAGGATAATGTGTTTGATGTCAATGTAAGTAATCAACTAGTCTGTGCTGAATACTCTGTTTAAGCAAGAGATCATGCATTTTGTTCCATTTTCACTAGTGAACAATCCCTGTGGCATCAACAATGGTGGCTGTTCTCATCTTTGCCTCATCAAAGCTGGAGGCCAAGGATTCACCTGTGAATGTCCAGACCACTTCCAGACTCTCCGCCTTGGTGGAAGCACCCGCTGTTTACCCAGGTGTTCCAGCACCCAGTTCTTATGTGCAGATAGTGAAAAGTAAGTTCCTCTCTTCTCTCCCCAGCGCCTCTCACTCTCTTGGGCACACCTTGAACTTCAGGTCTCCAGGGGATGTTGAGTTTTCTAATGAACCAAGATTATGGGTAATTAATTTTGAATTCACTCTAGGCTCCAACATCCGATAATTTCTTTCATGAATATAAGGAAATTGTATATGCAATTTTAAAATTGTGAATTTTTTATTGTGAATTGAGTGAAACTTTACAGAACCGATCCTCAGTTTTATATTCAATAAATCATCCACTCTGTTTCATCTCAATGATTGTAATCCCCTCAGTGCAGCATCAAGTAGTCCATTGCTTCCATTCCTCCTTCTTTCCCAACCTTTCTGAACCTTGTCCTTGGGTAAATATCTGATACCTGGCCATTCTATGATGTATATTACTTCACGAGTGCTGCCCCCAAAGCATTATCTACTAATAGAGCCATGGGGGCTGAGTTCATTATAGACCTGGTCTTTTTTTTTTTTTTTAATGATTTGTTGTTGTTCTACATTTTCTCTCACTCTCTTCAGGCCTTTCTAAGGAGCTCTGGTAGCGTAGTGGTTACGAATCGGGCTGTGAACCTTAAGGTCAATGGTTCGAAACTACTAGCCGCTCCGCAGGAGAAAGATGAGGCTTTCTACTCCCATAAAGATTTATACCCTCGGAAACCCTGTACAGGGTCACTATGGGTCGGAACCGACTCGACGGCACTTAACAACAACAACAACATTCAGGCCTTCTAATATAATAATCCCTTTCAGAGCAGTTGGTAGTGGTAGCCAGGTGCCATCTAATTCTTCTGGTTTTAGGGTCACATATGTAACTTTTGTTATCTGTAGAGAGGAAGTTGGTTGGTTGATTATGTGCTGTGGAGTTGGTTCCGACTCATAACGCCCTGCATAGGGTTCTGAGGCTATAAATATTTATGAGGGCAGAAAGTCTCATCTTTCTCCCACAGAACAGCTGGTAGTTACAAGCCCAACTCATAAACACTTTGCTACCAGAGCTCCTTAGAGAGGAAGTAAATGTTGTATTTCTTATTTCCAATGAATTTTCTTGAATGGCAGAGAAAGACTTTATATAGAAAAGTAGCCATTTAGATTGACAGTCTCCACTGTCTTCCACACAGGCTGACCTTGCATGTTAGCTAATTATTCCGGAGGATCCAGGGCTTCACATTCAGATTCATTCTTGATCACTTGTGTTTACAATGAAACATAACCTCAGATTATTTCCCTAATAAAGGCCACACGGGCCATTTATGACTGGGAAGTCCGAAATTTGGGTGGGGAGAGGCTGTGATGTAAATCATAGTATCCAAGGCTCAGTAGCAGATGGTTTTGCTGATAACCTAAAATCTCTTAGATTAAGGATCTAGCAAAGGACCTATTGTGAACTGGCCACTCCAGCTTCCCAACTCACAGTGTCTGGTAAATAATTAATCCCTGCTACTAAGAACAATGGAAGTCCTGGTATGACGCTGTGGGCTAATGCATCAGACTGCGAAGTCATTTGAACTGCAAAGTCAGCAGTTCAAGCTCACCAGCTGCTCCTTGGAAACCCTATACAGGGTGGCTATGGGTCAGGATCAACTCGATGACACTTAACAACAACAACTAAGAACCATAAGGAGTCCTGGTATGGTACTGTGGGTTAATGTGCTGGACTGCAAGGTCACTTTGAACCACAAGATCGGTGGGTTAAGTTCATTAGCTGCTTTTTGGAAACCCTATACAGGGTCACTGTGGGTCGGAACCAATTCAATGGCACTTAACAACAACCACTCAGAACTAGCTCAAACCCACACTGCAGTGTTTGTCATGGTAAACATGTCATCGCCGTTCTCAAATGACACTTTTAGTATGTATTTGGATCTTGACAAACCTTTTCTATATAGTCTAGTTACACCTTGGGTTAAATCACTCCTTCTGAGGCTGTGAGAAAACGCATGCACAGTGTTGCTCCTTTTCTCCAGGTAGCAGTTGTCTCCGCCTTTATCTCGCTCTGCTAAGGGCTGAATTCTCTCTCTGCAGGTGCATTCCTATCTGGTGGAAGTGTGATGGGCAGAGAGACTGCGCAGATGGCTCTGATGAACCGCCCCTTTGTCCACAGCGTTACTGTCGACTGGGACAGTTCCAGTGCAGTGATGGCAATTGCACGAGCTCACGCTTTTTATGCAATGCTCACCAAGACTGCCCTGATGGGTCTGATGAAGACCATGTCCTTTGTGGTGTGTTGGATTGCTTTGTGCCTTTTTTGCCCATTTCTCTGCTTAATTGTCTACTGATGGGATCCTGTAGTGATTTATCGAATGTCATAAATGAAAAACTGGTCAAAAGCCTAGGTGAAAATTGTTTTAGGAATCCTAAGGTTTCTACAAGGCAGATGGTTGAGATAGAGAAATAAGTTGTCTGTATTGGCAGCTCATCACCAGGTGTACTGAAACCTTTTGGAGAGCTAACATTGAGGGTAGAATGAGGGTTCCTCACCCCTATTTGAAACAAGGACTCCCAGTTGTAATACTTATTTTTACAGAATACTTTTTAGTCCATAAAAATACAAATAACAATCCCAGCAACAGATACATTTTGAACACGGATGTCCAGTAGATAAAGAGGAATGGGAAGTGAATTGAGTAATCCAACAGTGATTCAATCTTTACCTCTTAATTCTGCATGCAAGAAAAAGATATTTAAGAAGCTAAAAAACAGTTATTGTCCAAAGAATAACTGCCTATATAGGTGATTAGTGAAGTGTATTAGGACATGGTGGTGGCTGTATGCCACTCACAGTGACCCTGTGTAGGGTTCCCAAGGTTGTAAGTCTTTAGGGGAGCAGAAGTCCTCATCTGTCTCCTGTAGATGACTGGTAGCTGTGAACTGCTGACCTTGCAGTTTGTAGCCCAGCTCATACTCCACTCCACTACCAGGGCTGCTCTTAAAAGAAATGATGATCGAATTCTCCAGACTCCATCAGTGTAAATTAGGAGCTTTCATTCTAGATGTTGTCCAAGCTGATAACTAAATGCCCCTGGTTTCAGAGAATCACCAGTGTGCGTCCTATGAATGGCAGTGTGCCAACAAACGTTGCATCCCCGAATCCTGGCAATGCGACTCTCAGGATGACTGTTTGGATAATTCTGATGAAGCCAGTTCCCACTGTACCACCAGGACCTGCCTACCTGGTCAGTTTCGGTGTGATAATGGCCGCTGCATCCCTCAATCTTGGAAGTGTGATCATGACAACGACTGTGGAGACCACTCAGATGAGCCCATCAGCGAATGCAGTAAGTGCCTGGGGGAGGACCAGGGCAGTGTGAACTGAAGAAAACCCTCTACTTCAGCCCATAAACCCTCTACTTCAGCCCATATCTCCTTTTGAGCTCTCCCTGATAATGCCAGCACTGCAGGCAAAATGTAGCCATGTGCGGTGTTGATACTGTCTCTTGATAAGCCAAGCACGCACACTGAGATAAGAACTTTGTCATTTGAAACATTGTGTGGGCAAGAAGGTGGGCTTTACCAATTCTCGTTTTATAGAGCAAAAAAATCAGGCTCAAGTTAAGAGCATTGCTACTTAGTGGCAGAGCTGACACTTGACCCCATTATTAAAAACATTCAAACCCAGTCCTCTGAAACATGACTGAGTGGTATGGAGATAGTGAGACAATTTAGAGATCTCTATGTTTCAGCTCTTGATGAGTAGATTGGCCCTAAACCAGATACATGTTGCCAGAGTCAGTGTAGCGGGTAATATGATTATTGTTATTCTTCAGGAACATTTCCATAACGCAACAGTGAAACCACATCTCCTTGTGCAGTTTTGGAACAGGACTTAGACTTCAGTTCTGACCTTGCTGCTTCCTCCCTTTTCAGTGGGACCTGCGTATCGTTGTGATAACTATACGGAGTTCAGTTGTAAAACCAACTATCGCTGTATCCCCAAGTGGGCTGTGTGCAATGGTTTTGACGACTGCAGGGACAACAGTGATGAGGAAGGCTGTGGTAAGAGGGGCCCAGGGGTGTCGGGAAGTGACCAGGACTGGAGTGAAAAGAGTAGTGTCAGTATGCTCTAGTGTTTAGCATACTGATGTTGTTGTTGTTAAGTGCCATCGAGTTGGTTCTGACCCATAGTGACCCCGTACAGGGTTTCCGAGGCTGTAAATCTTTACGGGAGCAGAAAGCCTCATCTTTCTCCCACAGAGCGGCTGGTAGTTTCGAACTGCTGACCTTGAGGTTCGCAGCCCGATTCGTAACCACTACGCTACCAGAGCTATTTATAGGAGATGAAAATAGGTTTCCCATGTCCCTTTGTTTACCTCTGAAAAAGGATCATCGGCTCATTCTTCTACTAATATGTATTTTTAGTTATTTACAGAATTGTACATATATATATATCTATATATGTAGTCTCTTAAAGGAAATTCTTTTCCAAAGGAAGCTGTAATTGGTGGAATACTCTGTATGTCTCTCCAACTTTCGTATCATTTAATGGATAGCTGTAGTCAGTCTGACAACTTGAAGGAACTTATACCAAAAGACCAAATGAATTAAAGGATTCCCCAGATACCAGCATATATAAGCCCTTGAGTGGTAGAAATGATTACGCATTTGGCTCAAGCACACCCAGCAGAACTTTGGGAGACAGTCCTTGTAGTCTCTGTCTATTCTAATTTGCATCTGTCTTTATGTGTGTATGTATGTGTTGTGTGTTATTGGAAGAGAGGTAAGGGAGCTGGTGAGTTATTTTAATACTGATGATGGTGGTATCATTTTAGCTTTCCTTAACAGGTCTTTGTTTCAGATTATAAGCCAAATGCCAATTTGATTTTTGAACAGTATCTATCAAAGAGAAGATTTAATTTCAAGTAGAATGAATAGATTCTGTTTAGACAAAAGACAATGTCGTTGGAATTCTTCTTGTAGCTTCAGAATTCGAAAGCTTAATTCTCAGACTGTCTCACAAGGCAGCCAGTTCTGTGACTTTCTTGACCATTGGCTTCTAAAGTCTTTGTGATAACCATTTTTTGCAGAGGAAATAACATGCAATCCTTTGGGATATTTCCGCTGCAATAATCACATCTGCATTCCTCTTCGCTGGAGATGTGACGGGGAAAACGACTGTGGAGATCACTCAGATGAAGACAGCTGTGGTAAGTTTGGGGATTTTTAATCATCCTCATGTGCAGCTAGAGCTGTGGTCATTGGTTTGTCCATAATTCAGTGGTCCATTCAACTTCTTCCTAAATGGTAGGGTGAGGACAGCTGTTTGATCAATTGCTTTCTATGGCTGGTCCATTTTTACTTTTTCTTAATATTATTCCTTCTGAGATGTTTATAATCAAGCTTTGGGAGAAGTTTTGCTGAGGTATATCTTTGTCTATTGAATGTATTTATGTGCACACCTCCCCCCTCCCAAAGCAAACAAACAAAAACCTTGATGAGCCATAGAATAGAATGGACTAGAAATAGGACCAAGAGAAGAGGGAGCAAAGAAAAATGCTAACTCAAAAACACTGCTTCTCTTAATCTCTTTTTTCAGTAGAGGAGAAAGACTTTTGTATTTGTATTGTTATCCTTTCTGGAGTATTGATGGTTGTTGTAGCTAAGTGCTATTGAGTCAGTTTAACTCATAGCAACCCTGTGTAGGGTTTCGGAGGAGCTGCTAGTGAGTGAGTGTAAACTAAACCAACAACTTTGCGGTTATGGCACCACATCTTGGGGCTATTGTGGGTCAGTGTTAGAATTCACACTTTCCATGATGTGGCACTATAGGGTCAACACTGGACTGTGAACCAAATGGTCAGTGAACCAGCTGCTCCTTGTTAACCCTATACAAGGTTGCTATGAGTTGGAACCAACTTGATGATACTTAACAACAGTAGCAACAACATGCAGAAGTCCTAGGTTTGATTCCCAGCACCTCCCATGAACCCCTCACCCCTTGTCAGTGGAGACTGTGTTGCTATGATGCTGAATGGGTTTTAGCAGAGCTTCCAGACTAACATGGATTAGGAAGACAGGCTTGATGATCTACTTTCAAAAAGTTAGCCAGTGACAACCATATACATCAGAATCATCAATTGCCATTGGGATGGTGCAGTAGTGGACAGTGCATGGAGTCCCTAACAATAAGGGCTAGCTAATAGCACGGTGGTTCTGTAGGCTAAACACTAGACTGTGAACAACAAGGTTGGTGGTTCAAGCCTAGCAGATGCTCCGCCAGAGGTTTTCTGCTTCTGTGCTAACATTTACAGCCTAGGGAACCCTATGTAGGGTCACACTACATGTCAAAATTGATTGCAAACCACAAGGTCAGACGTTTAAACCCACCAACTGCTCCTTGGAAATCCTGTATCGGGTTTCTATGAGTCAGAACCAATCTGACGACACTTAGAATTTTGACTCAATGTTACTAACAACATTAAATTGCAAATGGTGTTCCCTTCTTACTTTGAAAAGGTTAGCCAAAGTTAGATTATATTTCATATTGGTTAATTCAGAATTAACATGCATCATTAGCCAATGATGCATGCTCAGGACAGGGCTTCGAGTGTACTCAGTTATTCAAGACTGACCCTCTAGTTTGGTGTGATTCTAGTCTTTGGCTTCCTTTTCTCAACCACTTCACAAATCCTTACTTAATATTCCCTGAGTGAGAAGAACTACAGCCTGGTCTGTTGTTGTTAAGTGCTATTGAATCGATTCTGACTCATATTGTTGTTGTTGTTGAGTGCCATTGAATCGGTTCTGACTCATAGTGACTCTGTATAGAGTTTCCGAGGAGCTGCTGGTAGGTTCGAACTGCCAATCTTGCAGTTCAAACCAACCTTGCGGCCAGTGCTTATCCTACAGAAACACAATTGAAAAAGTCAGGATGCTTGATTACAACTGCAAATATCAGTTAGCTGCAAATTTCTTACATAAAAGAGAAATCCAAAAAATTTAAAAAGATAAAAAGAAATACATAAAGAGCATGTAATTAAAAAAAGGGAGGAGAGTTGTGGGAAGAATCCAGATGGCCATCAGAGGTGAAAAAATTGTAATCATAAAAATCAGTCATTTAAAATGGAAGTAGCTCTGTATTTGAAGGAAAATTATAATCATAAAATTAATTTAAAAAGTTGTAATCATAAAAATCAGTCACTTAAAATGGAAGTAGAAGGTCTGTATTTGAAGGATGGGCTATCTGCCTAAGTCGACCTCTTAGATGTGGGAGACATGAGGGCATTTGGTCTGTTTCTTGTGTGTGAGTTGTGGTGTCCCTGATGGTCATGTTACTTTCCTTTCCAGTCCCCCGGGAGTGCACAGAGAGTGAGTTCAGGTGTGACAACCAGCACTGCATTCCCTCTCGATGGATCTGTGACCATGACAATGATTGTGGGGACAACTCAGATGAGCGGGACTGCGGTAATTTCAGTGTCTACAACGTTTTTTAGAGTGAAATAGTTTTTGTTTGCCATTCATGTTACATATCAGCCTTAGCCTAATGTAGTGCTTTCTGCTCTAGATAGTCTGTTCTTCAATCTAGATTTATGATAATAGGGCAAAATTGCAAAGACTGTTTTAAATGTAATTTGAATTTGAATGTCAGATTAACTTTAATGTACACTGACTTTGTAAACAAAAACATTGGTCTTTCTACAGTTCTGTGGAACATAGCCCAAGGAATATTTACTACTGTAGCTCCTGGTATAGAGATCAGGATATTTGAATAGGGATTACAAAATGAACAATCAAGGGTTGGTTCTGAGAAAAATCATTAAGGTTTGGGAATTCTGACTGCTGAGAAAAAGCTTTAAGAGCTGGAGATTGTTTAATTGGGGGAGGGGGCAGTGGGCACTTGAGTAGAGAAGCTGTGAGTTTTGAGAGTTGATTCATTCTCTAACCACAAATTGTGAGTGTTATGGAGTATGCATTCTGTGTAGCTAATACCTGTGTCTGAGAAGGAAGATATTTTGGGACTAACAATCTATTATCTGCAGAGTTGAAGACCTGCCATCCTGGATATTTTCAGTGTGGGAGTGGACATTGTGTGCCTGAACATTTGCAATGTGATGGAATAGCTGACTGTCTCGATGTCTCTGATGAAAACTCTTGTCGTAAGTCTATAGATAGCTGTGGTAATGTTGACTTGACATGTATAAAAGTGGAACTTTAGACCCCAGCTCTCCCATCAGTTAAGTTGTTAGGTGCTGTTGAGTTGGTTCTAACTCATAGTAACCTTGTATAGGGTTTCCGAGGAGTAGATGGTGGTTCATAGTCCAAAGCTGATCCTACAGCACCATACCAGGAACCCATAGTTATCTTTATTCTGCCTCCATTGAGAATTATCAATACCCATGGGGTCCGAGTCTCCATGCCTATAAAGCTCACAGTAGCCATTCCAGTGTATTTCATTAACAATATTTCAAATACAGAATGTGCTAATGAAAGTGTTTATCTCTTACCAGTTATGGAAATCATTGCTGGTAGAAAAAGAATATTTGAGCACTGAATAATAGACTAGTTTAAAGAACCTGTGCTGGGTGTTAGGACATACTGAATTTTTAACATTAAAAGTTACCTGAATTGCATAATACAATTAATATAAAATGCCATTAGAAATATAAGGCCAATATGATCATTCACATTTTAGCCTTCATGAACCACTGAATAAGTATTATTTATGATGACTATTAGGAGTCCTGGTGTGGCGCTGTGGGTTAATGCGTCAGACTGCAAAGGTTGATGGTTCAAGCTCACCAGTTGCTCCTTAGAAACCCTATACAGGGTCGCTATGGGTTGGAACCGACTTGATGGCACTTAACAACAACATGTCAAGTGGAGTGCACAGAAGCTTTATAGGATAAGCACTGGACTGCGAACCACAGGGTAGACAGATCGAGCAGACCAACAATGACGGCTATTATTAATGAGTTAGTTGCCACATCATACGTTTCAAAGAGATGAGATATATGTATGATGAGTAAAGCCAGTCCTGACACAGTTGAGTTGAACTAACGTATAGAGAAAAAAACCCAGTGCTCCCCACCCAACGATCCATATCGATGAAATTATAATCCATGTGGAATCCAACTGGGTATAGACAACTTCCATCAGAAGCCCAGACAGTTTAAGGCCATAGCACATCTGGTGAATAAAGAAAAGCGGGCTATAGTGGAAAGACCTTATGAAAAAATAGCAGTATATATTTGCAAAACAAGTAATATTTTTCACAATAATTTGATCATGTCTCCTCCCTACCCAACAGCCACCCGTTATCCCAATGGGGCGTATTGTCCAACCACAATGTTCGAGTGTAAAAACCATGTTTGTATCCAGTCATTTTGGCAATGTGATGGAGATGATGACTGTGGCGATGGCTCCGATGAGGAACTTCATCTTTGTAGTAAGAGGGAGAAGAATGGGGTGCATGAGAATGGGACTCTCTGGCAAAATCGTGATGTCTCGTACATGCAGGTTATTGCATGGTTTTTGAGGTCTGTGATGTGTGACTGGCACTTCCTGCTTCAGTTCTCTGTAAGAGTAAGCGTGAGAGATCTACTTTCCTGCTCCATCCCTTCAAGCACCTCCGGTTCATCCTGATGTTCATTTCCCTTTAACTTCATATTTTAAGATTATCTAATTCCCTCCTGTTTGCGAGGCATCTGTATCTATTTTTTAACCAGTGATCTCAATTGTGGTACACATCAGAATCCCTTAGGGGAGGGAGGATTGAAAAGTCCTTAGTTGATTTACTTTAATAATCTCCAGGTTGAAATATATATGTTTTTCCTACATTGCATTGAGTCATTGGAGGAATGCTAGAACAGTAGCTCTGGTATCTGGACTAGGGATGGCAAGCAACATCACTTTGGCATTTGTTACAAATGCATATCTATGGGCCTTCCTCCAGACAGATGGAATTAGAATCTCTGCTGGTAGGGTTCAGCAGTTAATGCTGATGCACGCTAAAGTTTGACAATTTTGTGTAAGTAAAAGCCCTCAACACAGGACAGGATGCCTCTAGCAGTATGAGTGGGTTTCAAAAAGTTTGTGGAAAAATTTTTATTATCTTTTAATACCATTTTCCCACAAAATTTTTTAAAGACCTTTGTATCTCTGCTAGAACTCTTGGTTAGTGCCCAGTCTAACCCTGCTGATCAGCTTAAGTCCACATCACTTCTTTCTTTTCCATAAGAATTTTTCCTCTCCTCCCAGAGAACTTTAATTCATGTTCATTGTATTTTCCTTGTGGCATCCTAACATTTTTATATCTTCCTTTCTACTTTTTAGCAATTATGCTTTCTTTTTTGTTCTAGCAACAGTCATAGAGGCCTACTCTCAGGGTTTGGTAATGGGATAGTTCAATGAAAGAGGTGAGGGGATTCAGGAAGAAAAGTATATGATAGTACTAAACTTGAATGAAAGACTTTGTACTCTAGAGATTCAATGACAGTGACAGTTAAAGAGATCAAACAATGACCTCTTGGCCATTCAGAGAAGACCCCATGTCACTTCTCCTGGCTTCTCCACCCTCATGGTCCCACCGTCCTCACTCTCTACTGCAGCCAGAGACCTTTATTTAGGTCACCACCTGCCATGCTTCTTCCTAATTCAGAAACTTCCCATAGGATGAAGTCTCTCTGATCACCTCCCCACCCTAACCTATATCAGATTTCCTCTGTAGATGCTTTCATAGCACATCTCCTTTATGGATGTTATCCATCCCAGTTTTGATTGAATTGTTAATTTTTCCCCATTGTATCTAATGCCTAGTACAGTGTCATGGTGTGCACTAGATACTCAGTATGAATTTGTTGATTGATTGATTGAAGAATGAATGAATGAATAAAAGAATCAAATCTAGCAGTGCCTTTTTTTTTTTTTTAATGTTTTATTGTGAATTATGTGATAGTTTACATGGGAGGACATTGGTTTTACATTCATTCTATCATATATCGTCTCATTGCCATGGTTACAATCCCCTCCATGCAATCCTTCCCCCCGTACCCCCCAGGTCTTCAGCACACAGTCGCTCTCCCTCTCTGGATCTAAAGTCTCCAGTTGCTCCATCGCTCCACGTCATCATCTCTGCCTCCATTTCAGGCATCACTGCTTCTCTGGGTAGGGTCCCGCTCTCTGCTCTTCTCCCTTGATGGTTCTAGGGACCTCCACTCCTAGACTGAAAAGTTAATCACTCCCCTCCTTGCTATAAAACATCTACCTTTACATTTCCAACCCTCACAATCAGTCCTGATAACAATTATTCACTGTTGTGTCTGTCACAAGAGACCTTCTGCATTTCATTGCATCAACCCCGCCTAGTCAGATTGAATACTACTCACTGGAGATTCTACCTTCCTCCAGGCCCTCTGGATCTAGGTTCCCTCTTGAAAGCTTGTAAGCCAGTCACTTCTTGCCTTTGTAGCCCCCCACCCCCCATTTTGGGTAGCCAATGTCTAAGTTGCCCATCCCTGTCTACTCTGTGTGTGGAGGATGTGGGAATGATTCTTGCTGTTAGGACTTGTTCCCTCTTATGAGCTTCTGCTTCCGTAGGTGTAAGTCAAATTCATCAAATTGTATGAGAATACTTTCCCGCCCCCCACCCCTCTTCTTTTTACTTCTGGTTGATCTCTGATCATCCAGTCATTGAAGCCAGGACAAGTGGGTATTATCTGCAAGTGTGGGTGTTCTTATGCATATGCTTCTCTTCATATCAGCTGGACACTTCACTCTCCACTCTAGTCCTCTGTGGCTATGTCACTGACTCTGGGCCCAAGAGTCCCCAGTTCTTGCCACACTGCTGGTCAACCAGGTCTTCACCCGGGTTCACAAAAGTCCATTGAACGTTGTAGGGCTTAGCTCACCGCTTCATTGCTGTTTTTCCCTCACTCCCCCTTATCGGTGTCAAGCGTGGTCACCAATCACAGCGTATATTCCCATTGAGTCTTAGTATTGGAAGGGGGTTTGCACTGAGGGGACCTGACCACTTGCCTTGATGTTTCCTGGGCAAGCATGTTGCTTGCTCTTGTAGTAACAGTCGGTCTGCCTATATTTTTCCTGTAGGTTTTTCTTTTAAGAAGCGCCTTTTAAGATGAAAATTTGCAATGTGATGTTCTACGCTTCACGTTATTTCAATTTTTCTCTTTCAGTGAGTGTCTCCTGTGATTCACCCTCCCGTTTCCGATGTGACAACAATCGATGCATTTACAGGCACGAGTTATGCAATCATGTGGACGACTGTGGAGATGGGAGTGATGAGAGAGAGGAACACTGTAAGCAGAAATCAAAAGGGAGAAGGAAAAGCTGAGGGCCCCAAATTGTTTGCTGTTTGCAAAATGTACCTCTGAGATTTAACCTGAGCCTTGAGCTGTTCCTGTGACTGCAGATCTCTGTGTGCTGATGGAATTAACCACAAGACCATAGAAACAAACGCATGCCTTTCTCACATGCAGCCTGCTCATTTCTGTCTCATTTGAACAAGATATTTGCAAGTCCCTCCATTTTTTAACCTTTGTTTAGACATTTCAAAAACTTTTCTTTCCTCTTTTCTCAAAAGAAAGTAAGAGTTAACATGAGATTGGTGGAGTTTTCTTCCTAGACTTGTCACCACTTCACAATTAATTAATTTTCAAAAGTGAAGTTTGGATACTCTAGGGAAGTGAGTGATACTATTCCTTTTGAACACCCAACTGAAAAGATCTTGTTAAATAAGGCAGCTCTGGTGTTAACAAAGCTTATCTAATATCCTTCTTTCAAATGAAAATGCATTTTCCAGAAGAGAAAAATGATAGATTAGTTTAAGGTAGACATTTCAAATTGACTGCATTGAATATTTGCCTCCAGAATACTTAAAATCTAGCCACTGAAGGAAAGAGTTGATCAGCTTTCTAGGCAATTTACTATAGAAAAGTCCATGAAGAAAATGATTACTCCTGACTGCAATAGCTTTTTTTTTTTCCTTTCTTCCCCCTTTCTTAAAATGATACTGTCTGGGAACAATTACATAAATGCCTTATTTTCCATTTTATATCCCTTGTATGGGGTGACCTTAGAATTCTGCTCCTTGACGTATAGTCAGTTCCCATTCCAGAGGGGACTGGATGTCAATGAGAACTTTGAGTTCATTAAAGTGTTCAAGTTTTTACCTATTTCCTTGTATTTTTTGGCAGGGATTAATCTGTGGTTTTAACATTGTTATGGTATTTATTTGAGGTACAAAACAACAGGATGTAAAACTGAAAATAAGTGATTCCTCCCCAAACCCTCCCACTGCTGGAGCCCATTTCCCTTTGCCTATGGACAGTGTCTTGTGGAGCAAGGTGTTTGTGGGACTTTGTCAAAGCAGAGAGTGGAAAAGGGAATTTGGCTTTTCTTCTCCCCATAGTTTTTGTTTGTTTCCCTTCACGCACCTCTTTCTCAACCGATTGTGAGAAAATAGATGGTCCATCATTTTAAACAACTGAAATGTTTTATTAGGACTTTCCCTTTTTAAAAATTCAGACTCTTAATGTTTAGCATCCAGAAGCAGTTGGCTTTCCCATGCTGCAAGTTTCTGCTTGACAAAACAAAACAAAACACAAAAAAACCAATTCTTTCCTAAGCTTATCTCTTCCTTATCTTCCTTGTCAAACTCAGGTAATGGAAACCAATTCACATTACTAACATTCTATTTTCTAACCTCTTTCCCTAGATCTCCAAGTTCAGTAAGCACGTGGTATGTCTTCCCGTTTTTCAGAGGTGACAGTTTTCTGAAATGCTTTGTCATTGCATACTGTGCCTTGCCACCTTTCTTGCCTCATTTTAGTTTCCTCATTGCCTGTCTTTCAGCTGTTAAGCCATTGCCAAATAGTTTCTGTTTTTATTATGTAACTATGCCAGTTCTGTTACTGCTCTTTATAGCATTCAGAGTAATGAATGCTGGTTGCAGCAACTAAAACATTCTAGTGGCATAACATATAGTGCACTTATTTAAAGGCCAGTGGGGGTTACACAGCCTTTCTCTAACATCTAACTATGCCACCAGGCATAGATGGCTTCCAAGGTTGCCATAGCAGGGTAAGAGACATGGAGGAGGTACATGGACTTTTAATTGTATCAGTATAAAAGTGACATAATGAATTGGCCAAACTAGTCACATGGTCCCAAACTAATTGCAGTGGAAACTGGGAAACATAGGGAAGCAGGGGTTGATTGGTGAACAGTAATGGTTTCCACCACAGGTAGGGGAAACATCTTGTTTCTCAGAAGAAAATGTTTTGACTTCTGTTCTTAAAATTCTAGGTAGACCTCCGACCCCTAGACCTTGTACAGAAGATGAGTTTAAGTGTGGCAGTGGACATTGCATTCCTCATTCCTTCGTGTGTGATGATGTTGATGACTGTGGTGATCATTTTGATGAAACAGGTTGCTGTAAGTAAATACTACAGGGTAGTTCCAGCTCAATATTGTGATGGACAGGTTGGCACGACATGCTGATAATCGACACCTTTATAGTCCTTGATTGCTTATGAAGTGCTTTCCCATACACTATCTATCTGATTTGCTGCTCAAGTTAGCCCTACTAGGTAGCTGCTTTTATTTCCACACATAAAACATAAGTAACTTAGTTGAGGTCACACAGCGTGACAGAGGGAGCTGATCTTTGCCACTAGCTATGCCATTTTTGGTTTGTCATTGAGGCTTCACAGCTTTGGTCTCCTCACAGGAAAAGGTCTTCAACTATAGATACCTTTAACTTAGTCACTTTAGTACCGAGCGCTTTCAGTTGTGGTTGGTAAGTGCCACTTAGTCGGTTCTGATTCGTAGCAACTCTGTGGTCAGCAGTCCAGTGATCATCCTACAGCGCCATACCAAGACTCAATTTGTTGTTGTTGTTGTTAAGTGCTGTCGAGTTGATTCCGACTCATAGTGACCCTGTATAGGGTTTCCAAGGAATGGCTGTGTATGGTGAGCTTGAACCGCCAGTCTCATAGTTCAAACTGACCTTGCAGTCCAGCGCACTAACCCACAGTGCTACACTAGGGCTTTTTTCTATGACATCTAAAGGATTTTCTGGCAGCTCATGGGCTACAAAAGAGAATAAACAGCCAGCAATCCCGAGCTGGCTTGCCATTTCATTTCACACCTTTTTTATCTGTGGAGCTTGGAGTTTTGACATAATTAAGAGACTTGATGAAATATTACAAAGAACATGAAGGGATTTACAAAGCTAGATGGTAGATTCTGGTTCTGCTGTCCAGAGACTGTCGTAGGAGTTAGGAGACTGGGTCAAACATTGGTTTATATTTCAATTGCCTGTCAATGAAAAGGTTCAAAATTGAGTGCAGTATGTCTTGTTTTAGATGGCATTTAATTAAAAGCAGGAAATAGGCATTCACTGGGTACAGAGACAGCATCACTTTTCAGATATTATGTGGATGTATCATGTGAAATGCTTGTGGCATTTGTGACTATTTCTATTTCTAATACTACTGAACTATAAAGAAAAGAAGTTAACTGTAGGTTGTGAGTATTATTTATGTGGTTATAAAGCTAGACTGCCTTGCAGTTTCTCTTTTGACAGTTCTCATTCCTTCTACATAAAATGGAAAATGGAATGATTTCATAAGTCTGGATTTGAAGAAGACTCACACAGTTTTACATGATTTCTACACTTGAAGATTCTTGCTTCATTAGACTAGGACTCACTCTAAGAATGCTTTGCCCAGAGTTGCTTTTACCCTGAGACCAGTCATAACATTACAGATTTTAGAGTTGGGAGGAGATTACAGAATTTGATTATACTCAGTGAGACCCAGAAAGATTCTGTACCTGGCTCAAAGCTACCCAAATTAGCAACATAGGGTGGATATAACCACTGACACTACAGAAATTAAAAAGGTAAGAAGAGAATTCCATGAGTAACTTTTTGTCAACAAATTAGGCAAATTTAAACAAGATAGAAACATTCCTAGAAAGACACAACACATTGATGATGAAATAAAACATCTGGATAGACTTGCTAAACAATATGAGCTCAGACTAGAACTTGTACATTTTTGAAGTATGCACTCCAGGGACAGTTTAAAAATAGTACAAAAAATATTTTGTGGTTATTTTTCTATTTTGAGCCTCAGTATTAATGTATCCAAACCTCATGCTGATGTAGATAGACATTGTACCCTTAAATTAAATTCATCTCATTTTCTACTGTGGAGACGAATCTACCCTGATTTGAAAGAACTGACTCAAGATACCACAGTCTCTTTAGTGAAAATAATCCGAAGGTTGTGGTCAGAACACATTTCTTTTGAGAGACAGATGAAACTTGAATCCTTTCTAGAGATAACCAGCTCTCTGCCCCTTCACCCTGCTCTCCTGTTATTACTCACTATCTGTGTTCATCTTTGTCAGCTTCCCTATAAGACCTTGGTTTGGGGGTAAATAGAAACGAAGGATGAGCGAAGCAAACTGATAAAAGTGACAAGAATGAAAACCAGATGGCTTGGACTGATCTTGGTAGAGACAAGCTCTTGGGGTAGTGAGACAAATGCTTGGGTGGATGGAGCCTGAGCTTATAAAGGTCTCTTTCTCCGGCAACATCTGGACCTTGGAACCGCAAGGATTACAAGTGTCAGTCTTATGGGCTCAACAGCAATACGGTAGCCATGGGATATTTTTTCTGGTTATGGATGTTAATAATCAAAATAAAAATCACTTGTATCATGCCACTTTAGATTAGTTTACTGCACTTGTGTCCTTTTACATACAAATATTTAAGAAAATTATTTTCTTGGGGTAGGAGTAAAGAGTTAGGGTTAAGATGGTGGCTGTTTTGTTGCACAGATTGAATCATTTAATAGTACAGTGTTTGGCATGTATACGTGCTCAGGAAGTGGAAATAGCAATCGTCATGGCTAGTAAACATTATGAGAGATAATGACGCAGAGTTGGATGTTCCAGGGGTGAGCCTGGCAGTTCTGAGGATAATGGGGAAATTGCCTCAAAAACTTAAGAGGCCATTAGTAGAAATAAGAATCTAGAGACACTCAATCCTCTCTGCCCATTGGCTTATGCAAAGAGCTCATCTCTAAATAGCCTATAATTGATAGGTCAAAGAATAGTTGGCAATGGGTAGGCGTTCCTTCTGATACACCACTTGACTGTTCATTTGTGAATGATCTTTCATTTCTGTTTTTCAGATGTAGGAGAACAAAGATCATGTGCTGAAAATCTCTGTCAACATAATTGTACCCAATTAAGTGAAGGAGGATTTATCTGCACTTGTAGACCTGGGTACACAGCGGGCACTTTGAACAGAAACTTATGTCAAGGTAGAGTATATATATATGTATGTATCCTCCCATCCCTTGGGAATTAAAACGCTTGTGCATTTTAGGTTCTCAACTCATTCCTTTAATGATCGATCCCCATCCCCTCCCGCATACATGCCATATTACCAGTGCCTGGCAAAGGGCATGCTCAGTAAACATGTGTGGAACTGATCAGATTAGTAAGATACTGGTAAGTGGCTGCTATTGTATCAGTATGTCAGATCATTAAAAACCAACCACACACACACACACACACCTTTCTCATCACAAGTTGAACAGCATCTATTTATTACCTACTAAAACCAGACAAATGAATTCTACAATATGGATGAATATGATTTTAGTTTTAAATTTTTAATGATCTGTCATGGCTAGTAAATATGGTTTACTATTTGGTTATAAGATTTATTTTGGGAGCTGAGGTTTCAGGACTCAATTAAAAATCCAAATCAATGATTCCCATTTCTGAGAATGCTATCAAATAATATCAACAACAAAATGACAGCAATGCTCACCTCTGGAGTAGATTCGAATGGCTCCGGTTTGATCTGTGTGTCCCATCATTTACCAGCCTTGGGGCCTTGGGCTTAATAATAGTCTATACCCTGTGAGTATTTTTGGAAGATTAGATGAGAAAAAAGCTTGTGAAGCAGTATCTGGAAAAACAGCTGTGAAGCCAACTATGTTGGCTACTGTTATTTATTTTGATCTGTAGTCTTTTGTAGTCCTCTTTATGAATGTGAAATTAAACAGAAGCAGGGTCTGTGAGAGCCAATGTTACATGCTTGTTTTCATTTTGCCTACAGACATCAACGAATGTGAGCAATTTGGCACTTGTCCCCAGGAATGTCATAACACAAAAGGAAGTTATGAATGTGCATGTGCGGAGGGATACAAGTCTATGGGTGAACACTTTGGAAAACGATGTGCAGCTGAAGGTACAGTGGTTTTATGTTGGGATTAATTGACTTGGGGAAATAAATACTAATGACTAATGAAATACCAGAAAATAAACTTTCATCTCTCAGAGTCTCTTTTTAACTCACTAGCTACTGATCTTCTAATACTCATCCAGTCTCTCCTCCTCCTTCCTCATCTGTCAGCTCAAAACCATCACTATACATACCTTGCTAAAACTTTTGAAAAGCTCCAATGACTGTCAGCAGAAGGAAATTAATGAAGTCCTCTAGTCCTCTCTTCTCCCTGTAAGTCAAGATGTGTCACACACAAAAAAGTCATATTGAATTGGGGCAAATCAAGGATGCTCTGTTGGCAGTTTCAGAGTCCCACCATGCCGTTTCTTCTTTGTGGTTGTTATTCATGGACATCTGATTGCAGACAGACAGGAGTCTGGCTCATCCATACCTTCAATCATTTGTTCTACGTTTTAACCTAGTTGCAGTATCTGGAAATCAGACCTGATGTGAAGCAGTGCTAAGTACTTGACAGAAATGACAAGGGGCATAAGCATATTTCTGGAGGTCTGATTGAAGTCAGTGTGCCCCATTTAGGGGTATAGACCTTAATGATCTTACAGATTGGAGTGTGTGCTAGAGTTTAAGGAACCAGGTTTATTTTGAAAATTAAGAATGGTGGTGGTTGTGTACTTCCAAGACTCTCCCAACTCTAGCAACCCTGTATTGGGTTTCTGAGGCTATACATTTTCACGGGAGCAGAAAGCCTCATCTTTCTTTATAGGAGAGGCTAATGGATTAGAACTGCTGACCTTGCAGTTAGTAGCACCATGTATAAGCCACTATGCTGCTATGCTATTCCTTCAAAATAAGAGTACAGGAGCTAAAACGGTTATTCAGTTTCTTCAAAAAGAGTTCTTGCAGCATGCATTTGACTAACATACTTAAATATTTTACCCTCCAAACCTTTTTGACACTAAACTGGAGTAATGGCATTTGATTACTTGGTCTGACGATTTAAAAACATGTAAGTCTTTGAATGGAGGAGGTGACTGAAATAAATTAGAGAAAATATATAATGAATTGTTAAAAATTACTTAAATTGCATTCGATTGACATTATTCAAGTAAATTAAATAAAACTTTCCAAACAGTGCATCTTAGGATGAGTTACCAATGAAATAGTGGCTTTAAATAAAAATCACGAACAAGCTGTTTTGTTTTTTTCTTTTTCTCCTCATTAGCTAGGAACTAAATTGGGTCCTAGAGCTGATTATCTGCTAAAGGACTCGTAGAACTGATTATCTTTAAAAAGTCTGCCAGTAATGAGTAAAGAATGAGAATTTTCTGGTAGATTTATAGGAGATCTGTAAACACTATTTCTTCTATGAGATGGAATATCTGTTTAATGGTAGTGAATAAAGAAATACAATCCGTGAAAAGGAGGACATTATTTAGGGGTTAGAAAGTGGGGAGTCATGGTGTAGCACCATAGGATAAGTACTGAACTGCTAACTGTAAGTCCACCAGCCGCTTCTTGGGAACCCTACACAAGATCTACTATATAAAATCGACTCAACGGCACTTAATGCACTTAACAACAAGTGGGGAAGACCGCCTTCTTGTTGTCTTGCCTAACTGTAACCCTCTTCCTGAACAAAGAACAAAGAGTTAAGAATTGACATACACCTCACAAAGTCTGTTAAACTTGCCACCTGAAATAGAGACAAGAATGTCCACAGACATTTTATCCCTGTTGAATAGTCAGCTCTGTTGATCAGCAGAGGTCAGATTTAAAAAAAAATATATATATATGTTTTTTAAAATTAAGGATTTGGGGTGGATACCTGCTCTGTATTATTTACCTTGCTGAGAATTTCAAAAAGATTACATAACTCTTCATTATTTACAGGAAATCCTCCTATGTTATTACTGCCTGACAACATTAGAATTAGAAAATACAATCTCTCATCTGAGAAGTTCTCTGATTACCTTGAAGACGAGCATATTCAAGCCATTGATTACGATTGGGATCATGAGGGTACAGGCCTTAGTGAGTATTAAACTTTGGCATCTGTCATATGTTAAGGCGTTGAATAGTTATCTTGACACCTTTTGCGGTTTTCTTGACTTGGTTTCCGTTTCTGGGGATTATCTTTACAGTCTCACCACACATTCCCTTGTACTTTGATGTTTCATTGTCTTTGCTCACATAGATGCTATTGTTCCCTACTGTTGCACTATAAAATTCCTATACAAACTCAAAGACTCAGCTCCAATATTCGTTGCCACCTCCTGTAATTCCTTCTAGCAGAGTGTCAAGATTACTCATACAGGAGCCTGTAGAATTTTATACCCACTTTTAAACAGGAGCCCTTGTGGTGCTGTGAGCAGTGGTGCTGCTAACCGCAAGCTTGGGTGGTTCAAACCCACCAGCTGCTCTGTGGGAGAAAGATGAGGCTGGAACTCTCGGAAACCCTCTATAGGGTTTTTGTATGAGTCGGCCATATTGGCTTGGTAGCAGTGGGCTGGCTTTTTGAGTGAGTTTTCCTGAAGCACATGTTGTTACATTGGAAGCTTCAAAAAGTTTGTGACAAATTGAATGAAAGGATAATGGAATTTCTCCACACTTTTTGAAACTCCTTGAGTTTTTCTCTCCATCTGCTCTTTGGATATTGAGATTGAACCTAACTCATTTCTTTGTGCCTAGCACCTGGCCGAGCATTCTATGACAGTGCGCAGGGTAGATGCTCAAGAAATGTAATTGAACGAGTGAAATACCTAATCTGGAGCCTGTCACTACTCTATATGGTGTAGCCCGTCTTCTGTGTCTGTCTCCCTTATCTACTAGCTTTGTGACCTGAAACATTTCTGAAAATCTTAATTTTTTAGTCTGTAAAATAAGTGTAGTAATTTTGTTCTGCCTGCCTACTTCTAAGCTTGCTTTGAAGATTGAATATGATAATAGATGTTGAAAATGCTATGCAAACTATCAATAACCACGCTGATGTTAGATTATTATACTTTTACACTTAGTTATGTGATATAATAAGCTTTTAAAAAATGGTGTATATCTAGAAAAACAAGTTTCAGCAAGTCTCTATAGGTCCCAATCTTCCTATACATTTTAAATGCCTACCATCTACTGTCCTTTAGTCTGTACATAAATTAGCCTTCTCATGTACATGGCTCCTTTATTACTTTCAACAGCCTGGTCCTTGTTTATTTAGGTCCATATGCAGCCACATTATACCCTCGGAAACCCTGTACAGGGTCGCTATGGGTCGGAACTGACTCGACGGCACTTAACAACAACAACATGCAGCCAAACTAGAGCTTGGAACTAGCATTTGAGAGTAAATAGGCTTTGACTGAAATAGGAGGGGGGTGTGGCCTCAGAAAGTTCACAGAAATATTCCATCATCTTTTAATTTTATTTTTCTATGAACTTTTTGAGGCCCCCTTGTATATTTTCATGAATTACCTTCAAACTGAGGTGATTAAATACAAATGTTATCAATTGAAGCATTTGTAGCTAATAGACTAAGCATAAAAGTTTTGGAATTTTATTGTATCAGAGTAATTGAATTGTTAGTGTGTTAGGAAATGTGAGAAAGTAAAGATGTCAATAATGATCAGTACTCACCGGTTCCTCATTTAGTAAATGTTCGCCATATGAAACTGACCCATGCATCTTGTCTCTTCAGGCGTTGTATATTACTCCGTGCTAGGAGAGAACTCTGATTTTGGTTCTATCAAACGTGCCTTTATCCTCAACTTTGAAACTGGTGGTAATAATCTTGTGAAGGATGTTAACCTGAACCTGAAATACATAGTACAGCCAGATGGATTAGCAGTGGACTGGGTTGGAAGGTAAATTGATCAGCCTCTTGCCTAGTTCTGTTTTCCTTCCGATTGCTCCTTGCTGCTCTCCATGTCACTTGAGTTAGAAGTGGCCCAGATATGGACACACTTAGCTCCTGGTGCTGCTGAGTGGTACCTAGGCTGACTCTAGCTCCAGCACCCAGTTCTGTTTACTCCAGTGTATCATGTAAACATTATTTTCTCAGGCTGTGTAGACTCAGCCTGTTTAATCTTTGGATTTGAGTTAATAGAGATGTGGGTTCCATTCTGCACTTTAGAGACGTCTAAAACCCCAGGGACCACAGCCACACATTTGGATGGTTCTTAAGTAGGAGCTGCAGCAGGTAGATGCATGAGATTGCAAACTGATGTGGAGATGTTATCAAGCTTCTTCTTCAGGGAAGAGGCTTGTATGGGAGACATTTGTAGGGAATTGGTTACATTAGCATTCATAGAAACTCCTGTGCTCTTGAAAATAAACTAGTAACAGAACTATTTAAGAGGGAAAGTTCAGAGACTTACTGCTTTCCAGGAGAATGGCAAGTCATTTGCAGTATAAGTTAATTTTCAGCTTCTAACAAACTTGTCAGGTGTTTCTGAAAGATTTGAGTATCTCTGAAGAAATTAATTAGGTGTCCCCACTGTGCCTTTGGGCCAAAAGGTGGTTCATTTTTTGCATCTTCTGTCAGGAACTGTTACCAGAGTCAGGAAATTGAAACTCAGCTTTGACATTTCCTTCTGAAAGCCGGCCAAGCAATAGCGGGTCTGTCTTCTTGTTTCAAGTTATACCTCTTGTTCAGCCTGGATAAATTATTGAACAAAGAAACTGCTGAAATTTTTTCTACATTTAAGAGACCAAGACCTGCAACCATAAAAGTATAAATAAGGATCAGATGGCTTTGCTGAGTTTGTCTGTTAGACTGTTTCCACTCACCCTTAGAGCTGATTCCAGAATCCTATTGATTACAATAAGGAGGAAACAGACTTATAGAAGCAGTGAGAATTAAAGGACCCACCCACGGGTTATTATGACTTTTGCCTCATGATAATACAGACATGCATTATTTTGTATACATCATTACTGATCTTGGCTGATCCAACTGCTTTGGCTGATAAGGCCAGAGTCTTCCGCACTATCCCTCATTCCTCCTTTGCATGTGCTACCTTGCAAAGATGGCCCCTTGACGCAAGAGATTGGGGCATTCCTGAGAAAGGGGGTCTTGGTCTAATCACGGGTATTCAAGTAGCTGTTTTGCCTGCTAAAATTTCCAAACTAGATCATAGTATCTTCAAACCTCTTTTCCCAGAAGTAGCCAATTTTGCCTTTTCCATTGTCTAACTTTGTCCCTCTACATTCAGGCATATTTACTGGTCAGATGCGAGGACACAACGGATTGAGGTGGCTAAGCTGGATGGAAGGTACAGAAAGTGGCTGGTTTTCACTCAGCTACATCAACCAGCTGCCATAGTTCTGAATCCCAAACTAGGGTAAGTATGGGAAGGATTCTTTATGTTCTAGATGTTATCCAGCGAAGTCTCACGTTTTTATTATTTTTTTTCTTAATTGTACTGGGAAAAAAAATAGCCATGTTCTTGCCATGTGCCAGCTATCATGTTTAAAGTGCTCAACATACAAGGCGGATTCAGAGAGTTGATGGCAAACATCCATTATTTTTTCATTAAAAATCTGTGCTATCTACTGGTTGTTGAGCATTTTGTTACTGTCTTTGGGTCTACTCTGGGTAGGGAGAAATCCTGGCCACATTGTTTCCAGAGCCCAGTTTGTTGAAAATGCACACACATTCTTCAATAGAGTGTGGTCTAGAATTGATCATTGATTTAGATAGGATGTTGCAAAATGATAGTCATGAGAATAAATATAGCTCAAAAGCATGCTTGGCTTGTACTATATGGAACTTTGTACACTTGGTTGCTAACATTTAAAATTTTAAAGAAAGAAGCAAACAAAGAAAATAATCAATTTCTGGCATGGAAAATCAGAGGAACTACTAGCATGAGGTGGGCCTGCTTTCCTTGATATAGTTCTAGCTGGAGTTGAGTAGGGGCTATCCCTTTAAACAAGACCTTGCTCTCCCCATGTATCTATAGTTTATTACTGGTCCATTCCACACATTTATTTCATCTGCCTGGTCCCTCTAGGTATTTGAGTGTATGCATATCCTGACCTAGGGTGATTCTTTAATATTCTTTGCTTGCTTAGGTTCTTTCTTTACTATCAAATATTAGTTGGATGGAATCTTGTTTTATTTGCTAATATAGCTCGTTGCCTCTCACACAGTGTTATTGTTATGTGCCATTGAGTTGGTTCCTATCATAGCGACTCTGTCTAGGGTTGCCAAGGAGTGGCAGGTAGATTTGGCATGCTGACCTTGCAGTTAGTAGTCCAGTGCTTATCCTATAGCGCCATCCCAGGACTCCCTTTCACACAGTAGGCACTCAAACAAACAAATATTTCTTGAAGGATTGTTGTTGTTGTTAAGTGCCATCGAGTCGGTTCCGACCCATAGCGACCCTGTACAGGGTTTCCAAGGGTGTAAATCCTTACGGTAGTAGAAAGCCTCATCTTTCTCCCGCGGAGCGGCTGGTAGTTTTGAACCACTGACCTTAAGGTTCGCAGCCCAATTCGTAACCACTACGCTACCAGAGCTCAGCTTTTTATATTTTTACAGGGTCTGAATTTGAATATAAACTCTCCAGACAGGGCCAGCCAATTTCTATTAAGAAATAGCTATTTTAGGACAGAGCCCACAGACATATTTGCTTTTGCTTCATCTCCCCGATCTCCCCGTCTTCTGTATACAAACAGTGTAATGGTGAAAAACAACTGATTATCCCTCTGAAAGCCCATCTTGTCTTTAGTGGAGAAGTTCCACTGGATATAATGCTACAATGTAGAGACCTTCTCTTACAGGCTTATGTACTGGACTGACTGGGGAAAAGAGCCTAAAATTGAGTGTTCCTGGATGGATGGGCAACATCGACAAACCCTGATTTCTGAGGACCTTGGTTGGCCAACTGGCCTTTCCATTGATTATTTGAACAATGACCGGATCTACTGGAGTGATTTAAAGGAGAACGTTATTGAATCCATAAAACACGATGGAACTGATAGGAGGCTCATTTCAAATGAAGGTTAGAAATGAGTTGAGATTGGATATGCTTCTAGTAGTTTTTGATGTCTCTTTGGCTATTTTCTCAAGAAGGAACACTGATCTAAGGAAATTGCTTATATACAGTTTCTTGCTGTTGCTGTCGAGACGGCTCTGACTTGTAGTGACCCTGTGTAGGGTTTCTAAGGAGCAGCTGGTGTGTTTGAATTGCTGACCTTGTGGTTCAAAGTCCGTGCTGATCTTACAGCATCACACCAGTGGATACAGAAAAGACAGGTTTCCTGTCTGGCTGCTCTGATAGAGGTTCAGATTATGTGTACAAATGTTATACATGTGTAACTACTTTCAGACATGGGAGCTAGGGTTTGTTTCTCTTTTTGAAGTTTTTATTGTGAATTGGGTTTACAGAGAAATTCATCAGTTTTTCATTCAACAAATAATACACTTTGTTTTATCTCAGGGATTTCAGTTCCCTCTATGCAACAGCCGTGATCCCTGTGGCTCCTTGGTTGGCCAACTTCTCACCTTTGTCCTTAGATTTTGAATGACTGACCATCCTATCATTTCTACCTTACTAGTGTTGTTGTTCCTGCTACTACTGCTTGACTGAGAGTTGGGCCACAAGGGGGAGTTCATGAAGGGTGGTTGAGGGCCATTGTCTCAGATTCCCCCAGTTAGGCCCAGTCTTTTTTTTTTTTTTAATATATATATACATATATAATTTTTAGTTTTGTTCCACATGTTCTGCTGCTCCATCAGGGACTTCTAATGTGATCCTGTTCAGAGTGGTTGGTAATCGTAGTTGGGCACCAGCTAGTTCTGGAGGAGACTGATATTTACATGTTCCATTGGTCTGTATCTTTAATTCCCATCACTCTTTATTCTGCACAAGAAGAGACCAATAGCTCTTAGATGGCCACTCATGAATTTTTAATTTCCCATGACACTACTCAGACTTGGCACACAACAACAACAACTCAGACATGGTAGTTTTAATTGTGCCAAATTGCCATTAGACACAATAGGAAATGTCTGTATAGAGAAGGGCATCTTATTTAGGCCCTGTAGAACTGCAACAACACAGCACAGATCACATTGGTTTTTGTTTTGTTCCTACCTGTATTTTATATTCAAAGGAAAAAATCCTGCCATGCAAATCATTTTCCAAAAGTCAGATCAGATTAGCAAATTAATTGAAAGTGAACTAAAGCCGTGCTGCCAAGTCAATCCTGACTCTGCCCATTGGGCAGAGTAGAAGAACGGCCCCACAAGGTCTCCAAGGCTGTAATCTTTACAAAAGCAGATGGCCACACCTTTCTCCTGTAAAGTGACTGGTGGATTTGAACCACTAATCTTGTAGTTAGCAGCTGAACCTTTAACCACTGCACCACCAGGGCTCCTGAAATTGTGCTGCTGTTATGCATCATGCATCATCAAGTTGGTTCTGACTCATCTTGTTGTTAAGTGCTGTCAAGTCGATTCCGACTCATAGCGACCCTGTATAGGGTTTCCAAGGAGCAGCTGGTGAGCTTGAACCATCGACCTCATGTTGTTGTTAAGTGCCATTAAGTTGGTTCTGACTCGTAGCAACCCTGTATAGGGTTTCCGAGGAGCGACTGGTGATTTTGAACCACCAACCTTGCAGTTAGTAACCAGTCTGGTGCTTAGCCAAAAGCACCATACCAGGACTGTTGTTGTGTGCTGTTGAATCAGTTTAAGTCAGTTCTGACTCATAGTATAAGGTTTCCATGGAAACCTAGAGCCTACTCTATCTTTTTCCTTCAGAGTGACTGATGAATTCAAACCACCAGCCCTATGGTTAACAGCCCAATGTGTATCCCACTATGTCACCAGAACATAAGCATCAGTCTAGTTTCATTTTCATTATCTTGATCTCACAGTGCCATGTTCTTTGGTGGTCATATGTACAGAGAGCTGGGTTTCCTAATGCCAGTCTGCCAGAATGTCCCAGATGTTGGTGTTGCATTAGAGACAATCCAAGCAGAAGTAATGCTAAAATGTTTTCTTTTTAATAACCTTGCTTTGTTTGTTTTCTCCCTTGTGGATAAGCAGTAAGGAACCCTTACAGCCTGGATGTCTTTGAAGGCCAGATATACTGGACATCTAAGGAAAGGGGAGAAGTATGGAGGGAAGATAAATTTGGGAATGGAGATAGAATGAAACTGCTGACAGTGAACCCTTGGCTCACTCAAGTTCGAGTCTTTCATCAGTACAGATACAACCAGTCAGGTAACACCTCAGAATAAGACATTCCTTATTATCTGGAAACCTTATTTCAAATGAATGACTACATTGTTTGCAAATAGTAGCTGCTGATAATAGACTGAATTCTTCATGCATGAAAAGGTGTGTGTGTGTGTTTTAACCATTGTGTCCAAAGAAAGATAGAATTGAATATCAAATAAAATTATGCAAACCACCAGAAGATAGGAAATAAAATTCCATCCTTAATGGCAGCTTGGAGTTAATAGGCCACAGGATCCAGCAGGTGTTAGACCCCTGATAAATGCAAGTTAGATTGCCCAGTCACAGAATGAGTTTCACAGTAGTCTTATCTACTCTTGAAGTTGAAAAAGCCAGGCTGATCTACTGGTGCATGGACCACACTTTGAGAACCACTGCTTCAGACCCTTGCTATTCAAAGTAGGGGCTATAGTCCAGCAGCATTTGTATCATATGGAAACTGATTACAAACACAGTTTCTCAGCTTTTCTAATTAGAATATGAATTTTAACAAGATGCCCTGGGTAATGTGCATGCATAATAAAGCTTGAGAAGCTCTGCTTAGAAGATAATGAGTCTGATTTTGAACGAGATCTTGGGAATATGTTTTAGTATTTTATAACCATGACTATAATCCAGAAGCTTCTAGGATAACCTGAAGAGTTTTTTTATAATGACAATACCTAAATTTCATCCCAGATCAGTTTAAATATGTACTGCTCAGCCCCCCAGATGATTCTGATATGTAGCCATGGATGGGAATCGTACTTATAAAGTCCCTTGTTTTCCAAATCAAGACACTGAAACCCAGAAGAATCCTCTCTGGAGGATTGAGGTGGAAATCACATCTTCTGGATTGTACCTTCTTGTATATTGTGATTTATCCATGTTTGGGTAATGGAAACCCTTGATATAATTGTTGTTGTTGTTAAGTGCCATCGAGTCAGTTCCGATGCATAGTGACCCTGTACAGGGTTTCCAAGGGTGTAAATCTTTACGGGAGTAGAAAGCCTCATCTTTCTCCTGTTATAATAATGGGCTCTTATTGGTCTTTTGAGTCATTTCAAGGTGCTTTAGCTCTGGTTCATTTTTGAAGTTATACAGTGAACTAAATAGATAGAGAAGCTGTCTGACAACATCATGGAGGAGATGGTTGAGACCAGTAGAAAGTGTAGGTGGGGTGGAAATGGGAGGGACATAGGAAAGGTTGTGTCTGTGCTGGGGTGTCTGTCAGGTGTCAGGAGATACAAGGGTGAGTAACAAGGTGGCCCATGCACTAGAGCAGAGTCATAACCTAGCTGACAGGTTTGTCCTAGGGTGGGTTGTTCATTCTCTCCTCAGGACTTAATCCTGTTCCCATCTGCTTTCCAGTGCCCAATCCCTGTAAAGATGTCTGCAGTCACCTCTGCCTACTGAGACCCGGAGGCTACAGCTGTGCATGTCCTGAAGGCTCCAGCTTTATGCAAGGGAGTGTCATTCAGTGTGATGCAGGTAGGGCAACGCCTGGACACCACCGAAGAGCTTGTCTGTCTCTGATTTCCTCCTGCAGGAGCCTTTGTGTGCTGCATATATCAATAGTTGTTATTGTTGTTAAGTACCATCTAGTCGGTTTCAACTCATAGCAACCCTGTATAGGGTTTCTGAGCAGCAGTTGGTGGGTTTGAACTTCTGACCTTGTGGTTCTCAGTCCAGTGCTGATCCTACTCCAGAAGTCCATGTTAATAGAATGAGAATAAATAATAGATTTAATAGAATGAGATCGTCAGAGGTAGGATAAGAACTATGAGAAGAAGAAAGAGCTGAGTAGAAAATAAGGAGCCAAACAGAACTTGTATCCTAATGATTTCTGAGATCTATAGAAATACCAATCCAGTGCCCTTGAATCTACTGTTGGTTTGCATTGTCTTTACATTTTGAAGAGTAGGCTTTCTATAAAACATCTTCCTGTACCTCCTACTGGATTCCTACTGCCTCAGTAATCTATTTGGCCTTCACTGGACTTCCTCACGGTGGAAAGCCATGATCCTGAGGTGGGAGGGAATTAGTGCAGAGGGGGGAACGACAGGATGGTCACAGCTTTTCTTACATGCTCGTTTGGACAACTGAAGTTGTGACCACTGAAAAGGGTCACTGTGTGAAACGTACTTTATGCTTTTGGGAGAGGGAAGCTAGAATAAGGAGTTGTTGTTGGCTATTATTGAGTCAATTCAGACGGAAGATGATCCCATAAATTAGAGTAGCGCTGTAGTCCACAGGGGTTACAAGGCTGTGTGACCTTTTGGGAGCAGATTACCAGCCATGTCTTCCAAGGAGATACTGGTTGGGCTCGAGCCACCAAACTTTCCTCTAGTAATCAAGTGCTTACCTGTTAGTACCATCCAGGGTTTAAGTCTCCTCATAAATGTTGTGGATCATCTATTTACTTGTTTACTTTAAATTGAGACTCTTCTTGCACAACCGTAGAGAATAACTAAGGTCCCAAACTATTATCCTGTACTTAATATGCACGTTAAAGAAATCACCCTGAAGCAGCCTTCTTGTTAAGTGTTGCTGAGTCATTTCTGACTCATAGCGACTCTGTAATGTTTCCTATGAGTGGCTAGTGAGTTAAAGCACTGACATTGAGGTTCAAACCGACCTTGCAGCTCAGTGCTGCATCCCACAGCGCCACACTAGCAGTTTCCTGTTGTTGTTGTTAAGTGCCTTTGAGTCGGCTCTGACTCATAGAGACCCTACGTCAGGTTTCCAAGGAGCAGCTGGTGAATTTGAACCACAGATTCAAACCACAAGCCATCCACAATGCATTATCCCATAGTGCCACACCAGGACTCCAGCAGTTTCCTAGTGACACACAAAATGACCTGCGTCATTTGAAGCAAACTTTAGGGGAAATGCAGCCCAGCCACTCCTTGGAAGCCCTATACAGGGTCGCTATGAATCCAAAACAACTGGATGGCACATAACAACAGACAACTTCTGCCACCAGGGGGAGCAAGTGCTTAACCAAGGAGCTGCCCTTGGTGTCCTGATGATAAAGCACTCAACCACAAGGTAGATTTGGACCGCAAGCTTGGTGGTTCAAATTCATCAGCCGTTCCTCAGAAACACTATATGGGGTCACTGTGAGTCGGAACCAGTTCAAAGGCACTTAACAACAGCAGCAGCAATCCTTGGTCTAGCTTCCAGGTTTAGAGAATGAACTCAGAAAAAAAAAAACCTTCTTCCCTCCTTATCCCTTCATGTACCACACCACTCTTATCCTAATGGAGTCCTGGTGTGGCGCTGCAGGTTAATGCGCTGGACTGCAAAGTTGGTTTGAACTGCAAGGTTAGTGGCTCAAGCTCACTAGCCGCTCCCTGGAAACCCTATACAGAGTTGCTGTGGGTCAGAATTGATTCAACGGTACTTAGCAGCAACAACTTATCCAAATGCCACTAGGAGAAGTATTGGCAAGATTCAACAATTTTGAGTTGTAGAATGATGGTTTCAACATTTATTGCAGTTCCGCATTGTAGAACAGGCGTTGTTAAAGATGTCCACCTCATCTACTACAATCTTCCTGTAAATTATTAGCTTCATGGTTTTTATATTGACATTTTCATCTAAAGGAATTTTAATCAAAGTAAACACTTATGGCGTCTTGGCTTGGCACATTAACTGACTAATTAATTCAGTGATTAATTGAGTTCCTACTATACACTGGGAACACAGTGGCTCTGTAGGATAAGCATTAGACTGCTAACCACAACGTCAGTGGTTCAAGCCTACCAGCCGCTCTATGCGAGAACAATAAAAGTCTTTCTGGTCCTGCAAAGATTTGTAGCCTCAGAAATTCTTTACAGGTTTTCTGTGAGTTGGAACCAACTCAACAGCGCTTAACAGCAACAACTATGACCTAGACTCTGTTATAATTATGAGGGGGGCTTCAAAAGTTCATGGGAAAATTCCATTTATCTTTTAATTCCATTTTCTCCAATAAACTTTTTGAAGTTCTCTTTTGTTAGCGATAACAGAAGTATAAACAACACAGAAAGTAATCTGCTTGCTCTGATTAACCTTCTATTCTATTGTTGTTCTTCTGACTCTTAGCGACCCTCTGTAGGGTTTCTGAGGAGCAGCTGGTGGGTTTGAACCAGTGACCTTGTGGTTTGCAGTCCAGTGTTTATCCTATGACACCACACCAGGAGGACAACAGATAAACCCAACCAGAGGATTTTGACTCATAGTGGCCCCATATGTCAGACTAGAATATTCTCAATAGGGTTTCACCATGTCTTTATTAATTGCTGTTGTTGTTGTTAAGTACCATCCAGTCGGTTTCAACTCATAGTGACTCTGTATAGGGTTAACAAGGAGCAGCTGGTGGGTTTGAACTACCAACCTTGTGATTAGCAGTTCAGCTCTTCTATCCCATAGCACCACACCTGACCTTTATTTGTAGAGAGCAATAAATAGAGTATGTCCTGGTGTGGGCTCTGTGGGATAAAGCACTGGACCATGAGGTCGGTTTGAATCACAAGGCTGGCAGTTCAAACTTACCAGCTGCTCCTTGGAAACCATATACAGGGTCACTATGAGTTCAAACCAACTCTGCACTTAACAACAATAATAAATCAAGAAACCAATAATTAAAAGTATATGGTGAGAGCTAAAGCAAGATGGCTTGTGGGGGATACCATGGGGTGGGGAACGTGGGAGGCAGGGTATTCAGGGAAGGCCTTTCAAAGTAAAATTTAAGTGGAGACTTACATCTAAGAGACTTAGATCTAACTCCTTAAATAAAGACAAATGTATACCTTCCTCAGGCACATCCAGGGAGTATGTGGGGGCTGAGCTGGCAGCAAGACTCAGAACAAGAGCATTTTTTGAGTACTTCTAAAAATCAGGAGCTCTTTCTAGCTGTGTACTCAGTATTGATGTACCTGAGTCTCTGTTGCTCAATCGCTGATGCTTTGGAGCCTCTGGAAATTCTGAGGTGTGTGTAGATTGAATTCTTCATTTTAACTGTGTCCACAGAGGAGAGTTCTGATGAGCTTCCTGATTATTAATAGCTGCTCTGGAATTGAGCCCTCTTCACTGTTTCATGGGCAAAATGCTATCATAACCCTTTCCACCAAATGGATGTTGTTCTCCAAGGCCATATGATTTCTAAGGAAACTCATTTGCCTAAGAGAAGGTGGGCTGGAGTCCTGGTGGGGTGCTGCAGTATCAGCATTGGATTGCTAACCATGAGATCCACAGTTCAAACCCACCAGCCACTCCTTCGAAACCCTGTACAGGGCTGCTATGAGTCAGAATGGCTTTGACAGGGTGACTAGCTGCCCCTGTTCCTTCTACCCCACTGCACGGCAGCTGTGGGCATGAGGCAGATTTGCATGGGGTGAAGGGCTCTGCTAAGACTGGCCTACTAACACATGCATGGCTTTCCCTTCCTGCAGCTGTCGAATCTCCTATCTCCATGCCCCCCGCATGCAGGTGTATGTACGGAGGAACTTGCTATTTTGATGAGAGTAACCTCCCCAAATGCAAGTAAGTGTGACCGTTGCATCAGAGCGCTAGGCTTTGCTTCTTCGGGGGGAACTTGAGATTTCAAAGCGGTCAGCAAAACACGTACAGGGATGGTACCAGTGCCCTAATTCTCACAATTTAACCCAGTTACCTTCCCTTGGGAGAGTCCACAGAGACATAGGCCATACTTCTCAAACTATAATGTTTGAGAACCAGCTGGGCATCTTGTTATAATATCACTTCTCATGTTCACCGGAGATTCTTCATTCCCGGCAAGCTCCACAGAGTCATGAGCCACATTATGAGTAGCAAGGAGCTATAGAAACGAAAACCACATTTTCCTGCTCACTTGGCCCTGTTAACTAGTGTTGGAGAGCAGCTATCAACATAAATACTGTAGTACTAGGTGGAGTCCTGGTGTGGCGCTGTGGGTTAATGTGCCAGACTACAAAGCCGTTTGAACTGCAAGGTCGGTGGTTCAAGCTTACTAGCCGCTCCCCAGAAACACTATACAGGGTCGGTATGGGTCGGGATCGACTCGACAGCACAACAACAAAACAACACTAGGTGCATATGATATGCTGGAAGACCGGATCAATGGTTTGGAAGGAAGAGGATTCTTGGGAAAGAAGCAAGAAACAGATGTCGTTAGACAGACAGTATTGGATGAAACTTAGTATAGGACAGAATGCTATCATGATTTTCACTTTTACTTTCTAAGACAGATTTCCCGTTGGTTAGAGAAGAAACCGATAGATGTATTTGATTTGCCTGACCCTCTGGGTGCCACCAGGCACAAGGCACTGCTACTACCGGACAGTGTTTCATTCTATTGTACATTGGGTCGCTGTGAGTTGGTACCAACTTGATGGCACCTAACAACAACAAAAACTCTTATTTCTGCTTGTCATCTCTTAATAGAATAAATCGAAGTCGCACAGGATACATTGTTCAACATGGGATTTAACTCAGCCAAAGCTTGCTCTGTCTCAGAATGTGCTTATAAATTTCAGCCAAAGTCTAAGACAGGATGGCTGGTGATTATTTCTCCTTTTCCTTTCAGGTGTCCTAGTGGCTACACTGGAAGCTACTGTGAAATAGGATTCTCAAAAGGCATTCCTCCAGGAACAAGTAAGTTTTAAGAATATGAGGTACCTAGAAATATTCTATTTCCCTGAAACGGAATGTCGTCGTATACTCTGCTTAATCCACTCTTTGAAGAGCATCTGATTCCATTTCCTAGTTCCTGCTTCTAATCCCGTCGGCCCTTTTCCTCCTTCACATGTTGTCATGTTGACTTCTCTTTGATAGCAGCAGTGGCGGCGCTGTTGACAGTCATCTTTGTCATCATAATTGGAGCGTTGGCAGTTGGCGGATTTTTCCACTATAGAAAAACCGGCTCCCTCTTACCTTCTCTGCCCAAGTTACCCAGGTTAGTTTTATGATGTAGAAACCTGTATGATGTGATCATGCTAATAACTATTAATTTATTTTAATTGGGTTAAAATAAAAAAATACATTGCATGTGAAGATTATAGAAATGGCAACTGTTTTGTTACTATATACTTAGCACAAAAAATGGTACCATAAAGAGTTTACATATTCTATAGATACAAAAAGTAATGAGGAATTATAGCAGTCACTTTAGACCGCAACATCTTAATTGAGTGTTTCTCTGAAGCTTGGTGACAAGTCTTAAGGCCAAATGGTTTTGCTTACTGGTGGCCATTCAAGTTAGACACTTGAAGTTGATGGAGCACACAAGATGCTTGACCCACCCCATTCGATCTCAAGAATTCAGGAATGTGCTTGAAGATTCTCAGTTAATTAACATCTCTGGGTAGCACAAATGGTTGGCAGTGCAAACCCACCCAGTGGCATTGTGAAAGAAAGGTCTGGTGATCAGCTTCTGTAAGGATTGCAGCCAAGAAATCTCTATGGAGCTCAGTTCTTCTCTGCGGCAGTGAGTTGAATTGCCTCAGTGGCAGTGGGTTTTCAGGGACCCTAAAAATTGAGCACTTTATTGAAGCAAGATTTATGGAGAAAATGTTTTAATTTCTTCCTTTCAGCTTAAGTAGTCTTGTCAAGTCCTCCGAACATGAAAATGGGGTTACCTTCAGATCAGGGATGGATGTCACCATGGATATTGGAGTCTCTGGTTTTGGGCTCGACCCTACTACTGACAGATCAATGGCAATGGTGAGTGTGCTTCCAGAATGATTCTTTGAAGGTTAAGTCACGCTTGGTAGTAGTTTGAGGTGGAGGCTACTGCCCATTAAATTAAACACTTTTTATTAAGAATGAAATTAGCCGGGTAAACAAGGAAATAATGTATGTCTGTCAGGATAAAGTAAATTTGCACTGTATAGTCAAAGGTAGGAGTCCTGGTGTGGCGCTGTGAGCTAATCCATCAGACAGCAAAGTCGTTTGAACTGCAAGGTCAGTGGTTCAAGCTCACCAGCTGCTCCTTGGAAACCCTACACGGGGTCGCTATGAGTCGGAATCGACTCGACGGCACTTAACAACAACAACAGTCAAAGGTAGGAAACAAGCATTAAAAATGTAATTGAAATTTACCCTCACTATAAGTCACATTGTTGATCTTAGTTTTTTGTTGTTTTTTTTAACAGGGAGAGAGCATGATGTTTTGCTTTTATTTGATGGCATTTTGTTTGTATAAAGAAAGAAGTGAGGAAATGTAGTTTTCCTAGTTTGATTTACATTCTCACAGTTGTGTAAGTGGTAGGAGGAAAAAAAAAAGTGGTTGTAGAAATAATGATTGATTCATATCCCAGTTCTGCCACCTTCTGAGTATGTCATATTGAGCGTGGAGCTTGGTCTCTTTTTCTCACTGCCCCATCTGTAAAATGGGTTCAATAATACCTTCTGTATGGACCAAATGAGACATATTACGAGGAGACAAATGCAAACTTGCATTGAGAAATAGTTTTCAGTATTCTGTTTCTTTCCCAAATCTTTATTTACCTTTTTCTTGAAAATACATTACCATTTTTCTCTCTCCTTCTCATTGTTCTAGCTCTTCTTCCACCAGCCACCCTTTTCTCTGGTGTTCAGACCCAACACCCATTTGAGTTACTAAGATCTAGGAAGAATGTTTCAGTTGTTTTGAACCGATAAATTATGAATTTATGTTACTTTAAATAATGATGGACCATTTGGAGGACTGCTGAATTTTATTTTATTTTTTTGTGGTGAAGCATTCAAAAGGATATTGTATTTGAGTAAACTTAACATCACACCTAACATGCCTACAGGTGCAAGGAAGGCATGTTCTTCTGTGTGTGATCCCAGCAATCAAAAACACTAAGATCTCTCATTTTTTTTCCATCAGAGTGAACACTTTGCCATGGAGACAGGGAAGCAGCCCATAATATTTGAGAACCCAATGTATGCAGCCAGAGATAGTGCTATTAAAGTGGTTCTCCCCACCCAGGTAAGAAACATCGTGGCTGTGGCTGGATTTTTTCCTATTGAGTAATGCGTCTCAGAATTACCCTAACCTTTCCTCCACATGGAAGCGCAGAGGGCCACTTTTCAGTTTCACCATCTGCAGGGACAGGACTGACCCAGGGACATAACACTTGAAAGCAATCAGAATTTGTTTTGTTGTCTAGTTCTTGAGGGTTGGTACTAACCATAGCCTTTTTCTTCTAAGTGATGTCAGAGCCCAAGGCATTAATCCATCAAAATGCTTAGCAAACACAGTGCCAACACATCCCAGGCTCTCCACATAGGAGTCTATCTGTGGCACGGATGAGTGAACCAATATTGGGCCATTTTTCAGAAATTTCTGGATACATTCTCTGGGTTATGCTGGTATCCTCATCCTTTCTTTTCTAAAGAATGCAGATACCTCCTTGGTTGATAGGTGGGTACCTAAATTTCCTTTCAGGCAGCCCTGCTTCTGGTGATCAGTAAGGAGAGCTGGGAAATGTGATAGGTTTATGGAGGGAGGCAACCAGTGTCATCAGATTTGGATGAAAACCACTTCCAGTGTCTGTCAGCTACCAACCTGTGCCTCCTGGTTGGGATAATTGACGCTAGTGACGTGCTCTTTCATTGTTAACACCGAAACTTCTTTTGAACTCACAGGATAGAAATGTCTACTTTGTGAACAGCTTTCAGGAACATTAACGCATTCTTCCTGATCCATGACATCCAAATTAGAAAGCAAAAACCCAAAACCCAACCCACCGCCATCGAGTTGATTCTAACGCACAGTTACCCTATAGGACAAAGTAGAACTGCCCCCAAAGGTTTCCAAGACCGTAAATCTTTAAGTAGCTGAGCGCTTTGCCCACTTTGCCACTAGGGCTCCTTTGAAATCCAGATAGCAAAACTTTCATCACATAGTAAAACAAATGTGATATTTCATGTGTCATTTTCATGGGATATAAAATGTGGCCAACTGTACAGGCACATACCCAAATTTGGTGTGATACTGTATGATAAACACTGGGCTGTGCACCACAGCTTCTGTGGTTCAAACCCACTAGCCACTCCTTGGAAGTCCTGTACAGGGTCACTATGAGTCAGATCCGACTTGATAATACTTAGCAACACTGGTGAATGGAAAAATCTAGAAACAGCAGTGACTTTCTCCCCTACAGTGTACAGGCAGGCAAACCTCATTATCTTGTATCTTACCTTACTGAGCTTCACAGATACTGCGTCTTTTTAATAAATTGAAGACTTGTGGCAAATCTTTTGAGGAAGTCTGTTGGCAGCTATTTTTCCAACAGTATGAATCTATACTGTGTCTCTGTCACATTTTGACCATTCTCACAATATTTCAAACTTTTTCAAAATGCGATTGCATATTAATATGCACATATATGTATAAACTGAGTCCTGGTGTGGCACTGTGGGTTAATGGCGCTGAACTGCAAAGTTGGTTTGAATCACAAGGTCTGTGGTTCCAGCTCACTAGCCACTCCTCAGATATCTTATACAAGGTCACTACAGGTTGGAATTGACCCGATGGCACTTAACAACAAAAGCAACAACAATATGTGTGAACATTTATATGCACTGGGAAACCAAAAACTTTCAGGTACTTGCTGTAGTGCGATATTTGCTTTATTGCAGTGATCTGGACCCAAACCCCATAGTATCTGTGAGGCATGCCTGTATTGATTCATGGTAATTTGGGCTAAAGGTGGGACCTTGGACGCACATGATAGCTGCAGAAAATGTCTGGAGGAATATGGATTTCATTTTGCCTGTTGCATCAAAAAATCAATTTACATTAAGTTATTGGTTTATTCCAAATATCCAAAGATATGATTACCAATTTACCAGTGAATTTGGGGAGTTAGTTACTCATATTGATTTGACTGTCAATCTAGAGCCAGTGTGCCTTATATTCAAAATATGATCAACAGTGAGAATATGTGGACATGGAAATGGTTATTAATAAGTGATGGTATACTAGGGGGCGTCAGAAGTTCCTAGGTAAATTCCAAGCCCTTTGAAGCCCCCTCATGTAGTTTTCTCACAGGTTTAAGGCATGAGATGACTTAATGATTGGTGTTCTTGATTTTTGGGATGGTAGAAGTGGTTTTTATTCATGGAATATCAGCTATGCAGTAAACATGATACCTGGCCATGTTTGTGGGAGAACAATGAAATCAATGAGAACCACAGTTGATACTCACTGTTATATCATTAGTCCTGAAGTCTTCCCAAACTGGATCAAGATTGTCAATATATTCACAGGTGACTGAATCTGGAAATGTGGTTAACAAGAATTATGAAGGCTCCATTAGCCCGTCAGAGGTGGAGATAGCTCCAGAGACCAAGGAGACTTCACCAAGTGCTGATGGGAGTCAGGTAACAGTGATTGATCACTGAAATCAAGGTGGGATTTGGGAAACCAGGGAGAAAGCCTGACAGGCTCACAGATCCCTTGATATGTGGTGGTGATGATGGTTATATGCCATGGAGTCGGTTCCGACGCATAACGACCCTGCACAGGTTTCTGAGGCTGTAAATCTTTATGGGAACAGAAAGCCTCATCTTTCTCCCACGGAACAGCTAGTAGTTTTGAACTGCTGACCTTAAGGTTCACAGCCCTTAGTGGTTTGTAACCACTATGCTACCAGATGGAGCTCCTTCCCTTGATGCGTAGGCAGTTAATAAAAATAATTTTTAAGAACTTTGAAGTAAAAAAAAACCTTCACACCAAGTAAAGTTACATTCAAGTGCTGACTTGGAAATAATGTTCCTTGTGACATTGGAAACCGTGTAGAAAAGGGTTACAGACTCTGGATCTGCCTTTACAAACCAGGAACTTTAATTTGTATAAATAGCGAGTTCACCCTTCTGTGAGTGAACCACAAGGTCGGTGGTTCAAACTTCTTAAAAACTTGGTGTTGCTATTTAATTGTCTGTTGTTCATTGGTTTACTGCTGTTACCCATATTGACCACTAGATGGTACTGATTTATGCCTACTTTATCATCTGTCCAACTCCATCGTTTATCAGCCAGTCAGTGATACTGTTCCAGGCACTGTGTTTAATTGTGGAGGTCTAAAAAAGAAGAAGGAAAAGGCCACTAGATGGAGTGGGGATTCATCTGCAGAGGGAAATCCAACAAATTAATCTAACATAGACTGCTAAAAATGTATAATATACATGAATTTTAATGGATACATGCTCAACTAACTTATATATTGCTATTTTATTCTGTGTGTATCATTCACCTTTGGGCACTGGAGTCCTAAAAAATGTCTCCCATTGGGGGCACTATTGGCATATTTGGTTAGGATGGTTCTTTGTAGTATAAAACAACTGTCCTGTGCATTGCAGGATATTTTACTATTTTTGACCCCTGTCAATTAAATGTCAATCCTTCCCAATTCACTGTGACTCCAGAAATCATGTCCCACCACACACAGATGCACACTGCCAGGTGCTGAAATATTCATGTCACTTCTGAAGTTTTGTGACTCCGTATCTGCACTCCTATAAAGAACCAAATATGGTGTAAGGGTAGTTGGAAATTGTATCTTTTAATATAATCTTATTTCTCAAATTGTGTCATCTATTGGTGTTCATACTTCTACCTATCTGCTTGTATGGAGCAAAATCAAAAACACAAAACAAAACCCCAAGCACTTTGATGCTAATGAGCAGAGCTTGTCTCTTTGCCCACCTTTAACTATTTCTTCACCATGTCTGACTCCTTCTTCTGTCAGACACCCACACCACAAATATTTTAGAAAAGAATTTTCAGTTTCACATTCCTAAAAGGACTGAGCTTTTTTCGTTAAGCTACATTTAAAAAGTGTTTCCTAGAATGGATTTACCTTAAATGTCATATTTGGATTCCCAAGTCTGACTCAACCCAAGGAAGTTCTAGATTTATTTTATATTCTCAACATAATCTTTCAGGAAGGGAGTACTGTGGGATGTTGTGACCTTTAACCTGTGCAGTGGTTATTGTTACGTTCCATCACGTCAATTCTGACTCACAACCCTGTAGAGAGTTTCCAAGGCTGGAAGTCTTTACGAGAATGGAAAGCCTCCTCTTTCTCCCAAAGAGCAGCTGGCAGGCTTGAACCACCTACGTTGTGGTTAACAGTCCAGTGCTTATCCTACAGCACCACAGTAGTCATCAGAAACAAAATGAAGAACACTGAGAGACTTGAAATGAGAGAGGACTTGTGCCAGCGATGGTCCCTTTTCTTCTCATCACTGCTTCTGCAGCACGCCAGTCATTCCTCTTACTCTCCTTAGTCAGTTGAGGCTGAGACATTCTCAGGTTTGTTCTCCATAGATTTGCCTGTGTCTGTTGCCTTCTGGGAACTGATATAACAGACACTGTGGCTTAAAGGCAGTCCCTGCACTTGGTGAAGATCACCCTGTTGTTGTTAATTGAATTTGAGTCAGTTCTGACTCATAGCGACCCATTATAGTGTTTCCAAGGAACAGATGGTGGGTTCAAACCACCAACCTTGTGGTTCAAATCTATCTTGCGGTCCAGGGCTTATCCTATATATAGTGCCACACCAGGACTGTAAAGATAACTCTAGGTTAACATTAACATGCCAAGGAATCTCACAGATTTATCCGTCATTTACAAATATGCTGTAAAACTCCAAGAACGTGGCCTCTCATGCCTCTGTTCTGTCATTTCTCTTGCTAGTAACTGTTTAACCCAAAGTAACTAATTGATACTGAAGCAATGACTTTTGAGGGTTTTGACCTTCCAGAGGTAAGGGCTCTGACCCAAGTGTCATTTTCCTCTAGGTACTGAAATGTGGATTAATTTGTGTGGCCTCTTCTATTTCTCTTCTACTTCTGGTTCTTTCCCATCATTTCCTATAGTCATGTGCTCCCCACACCTTCACATGTTGGTCCCTTAATTTCACAGAGCAAGGAATACTCCATAAAACATGTTAGTTATCTCAGCTACCTGCTGGAGTAGGCTGTCCCGTTCCCTCATTTCCTGCCAGGTTTCCAGCAGATAGCCAGAGCTGGGTCCAGCTCTGAATAGAACTGTGGCCAGCATTACCACCACAAGCAGGCTTTCAGCAAGAAGGTTACCAATCACCATTGTCTAGGGTGACTCTTCATTGGATACCTCAGTCCTGCTGGGTGATCAGTGCATGCTCTTCTACCTGTAATTTAGTTAATTTAATGTTTTTATGACTCTGTTTTCTAATCTGCAAAATAGAGACAATTGCAAGTACCTACCTCAGGGTTGTTGATAAGATTAGAAATTTGTAAAAGCTCTCAGATTAGACCCTGACACATTTAAACACATAGTAAATTAACATTAGAAGTCCTGGTGTGGCGCTGTGTGTGCTCGACTGCAAAGTTGCAAAGTTCGTGGTTCAAGGTCACCAGCTGCTCCTCAAAAACCTTGTGCAGGGTAGCTATGAGTCAGGGAAGTGACTTGACGGCACTTAACAACAACAACAAATGAAAATTATTATGATTACAGAAAGAACTGAGATCAGGGATACTGTTAACCAGAATCAAGACATTAGTTTATAAAACAAGAATTGGAGTTTGGCCTTTTCTTTCATTTTTTAAAGAAACTCCTGGAGAAATCTCCTACCTGTGCCTATTTTCTTTTGGTGGAGTAGCCAGGGTGACCCATTTGTCAAATCTTGTAAATATTATGGCCAGAGACTATAACTTTCAAATCAAAGAGGTGCTTTGAAATTATTAGAAGAAAAGAGCCTAGAGAATTTTAGTTGCTGTCCAGGGACTATAGAAAGTATCAGGCAGTTTTCCACACTACCAAAATACATGGTCCCATAAAATGGATTTATCCTTCAATGAGAAGAAATGTCAAAATCTTGACCGAAGAAAAAGACATCTACCCACAAATTTCATATGTTTTCCCCTCCTTTTCATATAGGCTACAAAATGGAATTTCTTCAAAAGAAAACCGAAACAAACCACTAACTTTGAAAATCCAATCTATGCAGAGGTAATTTCTTAAAATGTTTTCTTAGTGCCAGCATTCTTTCTGGTAATTATCTTTCTGAAATAAATTAAGTTGTATGTCTATGTCGATGATTCTGTGTGAGTGGAACAAGATGAATTTCCTTTACACAAAAACAGTTTGTAGTCCTGTTAGGGAGATAACTGGCAGATTTGTGTTTTCTTGTGGTCTTAGATGGGGACAGAACAGAAGGACGACGTTACAGAAGCCCCAGCCCCATCATCTGCTGGCCCAGCTGACATCTCTCCAAGAAGAGACCCAACTCCAGCCTACACTGCAACTGAGGACACTTCTAAAGACACTGTCAACCTTGTTAGAGAGGACTCTGAGGTATAGCTCTGCCAGCTCTTTAGGGCATCATTAGAAACACACTTTTGCACATATATTTTTTACAAACAGATGGGAAAAAGTTAACATACAGTACTTTATATAAAATAAATATATATGTATGTATTTTTTTCCCCTTTTGCCTCTAGTTGGAAGTATCTGGAAACTGTGCCTTATGTGTCTTCTTTTTTTACTTATGCCATCTAATGTTTTTACAAAAAATGATCACAATGTACTATATGTATATCTTTGCACTGAGGCTGACTGAAGATAATGCTATAAATATATTGTACATTTGTAAATCTCAAAGATTATAACGTCATTGAATTTGCTAATAAAAGTGTCTGCTGAATTGGGTTGGTGATCGTCATAGTAAATGAATCAATGAGGACAATTGACTTGGGGCTGTTGGCCATTTCTAAAAAAGAGGCACCATTCATACTTCGTATAGAATTCTCCAGGTCTCATTCTTGAATCTGCTTCTACATAACAGCACTTAATTAATCTTCAATATCACGTGTCAACCCAATCAATAGCTGTATTGAATGAGGGCACCATGTGTTGCATGGATCAATATCTGAATTTGACTACAGACACCTCAGAGATTGTAGATGTAGAAAGTGCGCTCTCCTGCACGCTTGTGTTGTCTAACCAGACGCTCCATACCTGCCATCTCATAGTTTCTATTTATAGTGGCTGTGAGAAAACCCCGTGTCATTAAGTGCCAGTGTCATGCATTGTATTGAATTGAGTGCACTCCTTCACTGCATGGACTATGGCCTGGTGTGTCAGGTACTCACCTACCCTAGTTATTGGAGGTCAGTACCCACATTAACTAAAACCAAATCTGTGTCTTCATAAAGTAAGGTGCAAAACAAATATCAGTTAAACAAAATCCAAACTAGGTATTTGTTTCTCTGGTGAAGATATCATTCTAATGACTATTTATTTCTTTTTTTGAACATGACTAGAAAGGGAAACTCTTATTGAACCTTTTAGGCCGTTTGGCTAAAACTACACATGTGTTTTAGAATGTACTGTACAGTCAAGTTTTTTATTTTGAATAGTCTCTACAACAGAACTGTTTTATAAAAAATATGGGAAGCAGGGCAGGAATGAATAGATAATTTTACATAGAAAGCAGCATTTCTGGCTCCTGTGCTAATATTGCACATTTTTAAACAGTGAATGAATGGATGCATGCATACAAGGATGAATGAATGTAACATGTACTACTGATTATTTTATTTCTGGGTTCTCAAAATATTGGTTGCTCCTATTTTGAGTGTTTTTTTGTAATTACTTTGAAACGTACATTGATTAGAAAGGCAATGGTAAATGACGCTGCTGAAAATTTTCTAATAAATGTGTATTTTATCAGACATTCTCTGTATGTTTCTTAAACGCAGGTCATGAATCAGTGATATTTTGCTCTGCAGAGAGCTTGCATATTTTGTGCTGCTCCTTCCTGGAAGTGAATCCAGAGCAAAGCAGTTTGAAATGTCTACACAGTATTTGCTTGTGCCATGGTATTCTGGAATAAGTGATAGGAAACAAATGGTTTCTCGAGAAACTGTTAGGTATTGTTGAGTCCTGCTTAGCTTAGCTAACAATATACTAGTCATTGAGTGCTTATGGGAACCAGAAAGGAAAGACCATATTCCTGTTCTTCTGATAACTAATATTCCCTTACTACTAGCCATTTGCCATCTTCCTTTTGGTTATCTCTCTAAGCCACAGTTGCTTACTGCTGTAAAATAAGGAGATTGGTTGTTAGTGTCAAACATGCACAGCACTTGGGACAGAGCCATCCCTCAGCCAATGGCGGTCATGATTGTTACCATCTGCAGAATCCTAGGAGTCCTGGTATGGCGCTGTGGATTAATGCGCTGGACTGCCAGGTCAGTTTGAACCGCAAGATCGGCGATTCAAGCTCACCAGCTGCTCCTTGTTAACCCTCAAAGGTACTTAACAACTAAAGGCTCCCCTTTAGGTGATTGTAATGTGCAGTCAGATTGACAACTACTGCTGTAAACTCAAACAATATAGTCTCCTCATTTTTACTGTCCTTTTAAATGGAAGATGTCAGGGTGGATAGACTTTTATAAGGTCTTTAGAGGGATACACATGTCTTGTTAGTGGTGAGGCTGGGGTGAAGATGAGAGTGTTTTATTGCCATTTGAGGGGGAAGGGGAAGGCAATGGATGTTCTTGACCATGAAAGATGGGGAAACCAAAATCGAAGAAACATATGAAGATCACACCTTGCTAATATCCTTCTTGTCTTATCAGTATTTTTTGTTCCAACAATTAGGGTGAGGAGACTTGCTGGACCTTCCACAATGTCTTGTGTTGAGCACCTTTGTGGAATATAAAAAAAAGGTTCCATGGTCAATCGTTCTAAATCAAAAGGGCAACAGTTACCTAAGGTCAAAGTTGAGAAGGGATGGAAAGGAGGGTGGAATGAAAGTAGGAACCCCAGGGAGGAAGTGGGATAACTGCTGCTGCCTGAGGAGATGCAATTGTTGTGATGAAACCAAGTGTATGATTTGTTGAAGGTAAAATTGATATCTTCTCTATAAATCTTCACTCAATTTGCAATAAAAGCTAGAAAAAAGAATAACTAATAAATTAAAATCATGGTTTTAGCTACAACTACAAATATTTTTATTTCCCCAGTAAAGCATTTGTTATTTTCCCTTATTCTTGGGAGGCCTTTTAGGGGCCAGGTCAGAAGACGTCCCTGCCAGTGAAGACAGTCCAGAGGAGATGGGGTCACAAGATAGGTGGGATGCAGTCCAGTTCCAAGAATGAGTACAAGGGTGCATTTGGGGCCTGTGGTCATTAACTGGTGGCAGTCTTACCTTCCATGCGGGAGACCCGGGTTCTATTCCTGGCCAGTACACCTCAGGCTCAGTCATCACTTGTCAGTGAGGCTCTGCATGTTGCTGTGATTCGAAATGGCTTCCAGACTACTTTGCATTAGGAAGAAAGGCCTGACAATCTATGCCTGAAGATCAGCCCCAATCTTCTGACTCACACTAATCTCATCCCCAAGGGGTCATGGGCACGGTGCAGGTCTAGGAAACATTTTGTTCCATTTTGCATGGGCTTCCCTGAATCGGAGACTGACTCAGTGACAATTAGCAACAACACATTATATATTTTTTCAACATTTTTGTTTTCGTGAGTTTTCACTCTTGGGCAGTTTCTAAGAATAAAGAATTTGAGAGGACTAGTTCATTTTTAGAAGATAGAGACACTCGGGTTGCTCTTGGAAAACTGCCACCATTTTGCCTTATTGTAAAGGGACCTGGTTCATTGGATGGAAACTTTTATTAACAGCCCAGAAAATTGTTCCCTACATGTTGAAAGAGCACCTAGGCTCTGGGTTGATGGAGTTTGTTGCTGTCACATTGGCAAATGGCCTTCCTCATTGAGATCAAGAAGCTCTGCCTAAATGGTCACGTGTCCTTGAGCAAACTGTTTACCTTTACCTGGAAAGTGAAGGGACTGAGCAAACGTTTCTCTAGCTTCAAAGTGCGGTGGTTCAACGGTTCATCTCTGCTCCAGCCTTCATAGAGAATTTAGTTCATTTGAAACCCACTGCAGCTATTTTGGTAAGTTCTAAGCTTGTTATAACAGATTCAATTATATCATCTTAATTTTTATCTTCTCTAGGTGAGCCTTCAGATAAATGCATTTTAGCAAATGTTTTTTATGTGAAATATCTGAAAGCCTGTTGTCAGTTTCAGGGCTGCAAGTTGTCATCCAGGGGTGCTTTCTGCAGGAGACCCCTGCAAGCTTCCTTTATAGATTCCAGGTTCTAGGGGACCCATACTGAATTTCCTATGGCACTAGATGGGGCATTTCCTAGGAATTAGTATCAAAAAGCGGTAGCTGGACTTGTGGCAAGATGGCAAACTAGGCATACACACTGCACTGACCTTCTACAACAAAATACAAGAGACAAAACAAAACAGACACAGATGAAAATTGTGGCACCCTAAACTTGAGAAGAAAGGATAGAGAGGTGGATGGAGTGCTTGCTGGGAAGAGAGGCTGAGCAGAGATGCTGAGAGAGAGACTGGGCCAGATGCAGCTCCACAATCTTATGAGCATCTTTGGCAGCAGATTTGCGAGGGGGACGGAAAAGGTGCAATTTCTTCTTTTTTTCCCCACACTCCTTTGGTGACCAGAAGTGTGGCCAGCCCCCACCCTCATCCGCCCTAGTGCAGACCCTGGGGAGTTTGGAGCCACGTGGTTGGGTCACACTGGTGTGAGGTGGGGGCCAGCTGTGCTGCTTTGGTGCCTGGATTCAGGTGGGCTCTGCTCCAGACCTAAAAAACCTGCAGAGCCACCAGACCAGCATTTAACCAGTCACCCTGCCCCCAGCTTCCCTGTGGTGCTAACAGACACTGAAACCAGCTCCATTAAGGACCCCACTAACTACTTCTGGACTGAGTGCCCTGAACATAGAGAACAATGAGGCCAATAGGAACTCCTCCTAAGGCCATGAACTCTGCAGTCAAATCCCCTCCACTTAAATTGTGGGAGCCCCCCAGAGATTTCTCCCCTGGGGGTCCAACTATCCAACAATGCCCCGCAGACAATAGACTATTTTAGCTCATATGAAGAGAAAATGGCTCAAACAAATGACTAAGATATAGACTCAGAAAACAATTCTGATGGAGAAAAAAATGGTAATGGAACTAATTGAAAAAGAATTAAAGAGTGATGTTTTCGTCCCTTCAGAGGATCAAGGAAAGCAAAATAAAAATTTTAGAAGAATTCAGGAAAACACTATAGAAGAACAATCAGTAAAAAGAATGAAAAATACAAAGAAAATCTAAGAGTTCTGTGGGACACCATGAAGAGGAACAACTTGCAGGAGATCAGAGTTCCAGAACAGAGACAGACAAGAACAGAGAACATTGTCTAAGAGTTGTTGGAATAAAACTTCCCTAGTATCATGAAAGACAAGAAGATAAGCATACAAGAAGCTGAATG